CTTTTTTTTCTTTCTTTTTTTTTTTTTGAGACAGCACCTCACTCCATCACCCAGGCTGGAGTACAGTGACATGATCACAGCTCACTGCAGCCTCAACCTCCCAGGGCTCGGATAATCCTCCTACCTCAGCCTCCCGAGTAGTTGGGACTACAGGACAGGCATGCACCATCACACCTGGCTAATATTTGTATTTTTTTGGTAGAGACAGGGTTTCGCCATGTTCTCCAGGCTGTCTTGAAGTTTTGTGTTCAAGCTATCTGCCCACCTTAGCCTCCTAAAGTGCTAGGATTACTGGCATGAGCCACTGCGCCTGACCTTCTGGCTTCTTTGTTTGTGTCCACTTATCTTTCCCTCCTGCTCCCTTTTGCTCTGCCACCCCCACTCCAGGAAACTACTGCTCTGCTTTTTGTCACTTTAAATTATTTTGCATTTTTCATAGTTTTATATAAATGGAATACATGTATTCTTTTTTGGATTTTGTTTGATTCGTTTATCTTCCTTCAGTCTGCATAGTTGTTTGGGGGATTCATTCATGTTATGTATCTTGAGAGTTCATTTCTTTTTATTGACCAGTGACATTCCATTGCATGGCTGTACCATAGTTTGTTTATCCATTAGCTGGCTGATGTACATTTTTTGCTACCATTTTGGGGCTTTGATAATTAATAAATAAAATAAAGCTGATACAGACATTTACATGTAAGTCCTTGAGTATATACCAGGAATTGAAATACCTTGAGTATATACCAGGTTATATTGAACTTTTGAAGAAATGACTAGACCGTTTTCAAAAGTTAGTATGCCAATTTAAATTTCCACCAGCATTATATGAAAGTTCCAATTACTCTACATTTTGGACAGCATTTGATATGGTCAGTCCTGAAAATTTTAGCCATTGTAATAGTATGTAGTGGTATCTCATTGTGATTTTAATTTGCATTTTCCTTGACTAATAACATTGAACATATTTTATGTGTTTATTTGCCATACTTAGGTCCACTTTGGTGAAGTGTCTTCAAATCTTTTGTCCATTTTTTGTTCAATTGTTTTTCTTATTTAGTTTTGAGTATTCTTTCTGTATTCATGATACAAGTGCTTCATCAGAATTGGGATTTGCCAAGACTTTCTTCTAGTCTCTATCTAATCTTTTCATTCTCTTAACAATGTCATTCAAAGAGCAGAAGTTCTGAATTTTGATGAAGTTCAGCTTATCAATTTTTTTCTTTGAATTATCCTTTTAGGGCTTTATTTAAGAAGTCCTTGTATAACCTTCGGTCAAAGATTTTTGCCAGTTTTTTTCTACAAGTTTTACAGTTATGTCTGTGCTATATATTTGAGTCTCTCTCTGGTTCGTATACTGTGTGTTCATTTTTATATAGGATGTGAGGAAAGGATCAAAGTTTATATTTTGCATATGAATATTCAGTTTTTCCAGCTCAGTTTGTTGAAAAGACTATTTCTCTCATCACATTTGGAAAAACTCTGACAGTAGTTTCTTCAAATATTTTTTCTATGTCTCTGTTTCTCCTGTCCTTTGGTGACTTTAGTTACATGTATATTAGGCCCCTTGAAGTTGTCCCTTGGCTCACTGATAAGTTTATTTATTTCAGCCTTTTTTTGTCTGTGTTTTTCATGTTGGATATTTTCTATTGCTTTGTCTTCAAGTTTACTAATCTTTTCTTTTGCAATGTCTAATCTGCTGTTAATCACACCTAGTGTATATTTTTCATCTCAGATATTTTGACTTTCATTTCTAGAAGTTCAGATTGGGTCTTTTTTATGTGTTTAATATACTTAATCCTTCATATAGCTTCTTGAATCATGAATATGTAAAGTTAAAGCAATTACTATAATGTCCTTGTCTACTAACTCTAGCATATTTGTCATTTCTCTGTCCATCTTGATTGATTTTCTCCTTGTTATAGGTTTTATTTTTCTCCCTCTTTACATGCTTGGCCAGTTTTGATTGGCTGCCAGACATCATGAATTTTACCTTGTTGGGTGCTGGATATTTTTGCATTAGAAATACTTTTTTTTTCCTTCCAACTTTAAGGTTCAGGGAGTGTGTGTACCGGTCTGTTACATGGATAAATTGTGTGTTTCTGGAGTGTAGTGTACAAATGATTTTATCGCCCAGGTAGTGGGCATTGTACCTGATAGGTAGTTTTTCAGTCCTAACCCTCCTCTCATCTTCCATCTTCAAGTAAGACGCAGGGTCTGTTATTCCCATTTGTCTCTGTGTGTACTCAATGTTAGCACCTACTTACAAGTGAGAACATGCAGTGATCTGGTTTTCTGTTCCTGCATTAATTTGCTTAGGATAATGGCCTCCAGCTATGTCTGTGTTGCTCAAAGGATATGATTTTATTTTTATGACTGCATAGTATTCCATGATGTATATGTACCACAGTTTCTTTTCCACCATTATTGGGCATCTAGGTTGATTTCATATCTTTGCTATTGTGAAAAGTGCTGTGATGAACATATGTGTACATGTATCTTTATGATAGAATGATATATATTCCTTTAGGTATATATCCAGTAGTGGATTGCTGGGTCATATGGTAGTTTTGTTTTAAGTTCTTTGAGAAATTTCCAAACTGCTTTCCACAGTGGCTGAACTAATTTACATTCCACTAGCTGTTCCCTTTTCTCTGCAACTTTGCCAACATATATTTTGACATTTTAGTAAAAATTATTCTTAAGCTTTGTTCTAGGGTACAAATGGGTCTTTTAGATCTTGCTTTCTAAGATTTATTAGGTAAGAATGCAGGATGTAGTTTAGCTCATAACCCTTCTAAGTATTGTACCCCATGTCTTACGTATTATGAAGGTCTTTCCACTTGGCCTGGTGAGAACAGAAACTGTTCTCGACTGTATACAACCTCCATATGTTGTTCCCTATAATGCTTTCAAATGACTCTTTACCACCATTGAGGAAAGAGCTACACAGAGGGTGCAGGTAGCTTCTTCATACACATGCATTAAGTACTTAACTGAAAACAGAGGGAGTCCCTCATAGTGCTCTTTCTGTGCAGTCTTTGCTCACTGATACTGTGTTCCATGCACTGTAACCACCTTGATCTCCCAGTTCATCTCCTCAACTTGGAGACCGTCAGGCTTCACTGTTCTCTCTTCCTGAGTTGCAGCCTGGAAACTCTCTGTGCAGTTAGCTGGGGCATTTGTGTGCAGTTAGCTGGGGCATTTGTGTAGCTCATCTTGTTTCTTCCATCTTTTGGGGTCACTGTCTTCATTGCCTGATCTCTGACATCTTGAAAGACATTGTTTCATATATTTTGTTAATACAGGTTTTAGTTGTTTCAGGTGGGAGGATCTGTGTTATTTCATCTGAAGCAAAATGGGAGTCATTTATTTTTATTACCTTAAAAATTTAATTTTTATATAAGTGAATCATTCCCATGATTCAAAAATCAAAAAATGTAAATATGTATTTGGTCAAAATCTCCCTCCAAATCCTCCCACTACCAAGCTAGTCCTCATCCCCCACCAAGTAAAAACCTATTCTATTAGTTTATCTTTCCAGAATTTCTTCATATGCAAGTAAATAAAAATTACATACCCTTTTTCACCTTCTACCTCCTTTTTCATAGAAAGTTTGCATAGTCTACATGCTATTCTGAACCTTATTTTTTTCACTTAGCCATGTGTCTTCAGGATATTTTCTTATCGGTGCATAGACTTCAAACACACACACACACACACACACACACACACCCCTTTTTGATGACTATATATAGTGTCCACATTATGTAGACATACCATCATTTGTTTAAAAGTTCCCTTTTGTTAAACAATTAGGTTGCTTTCAATCTTTTGCTATTAGGAATAATGTCGGAGTTAATCATCTTGTGCATAACTCATTTTGTATGTATCTGCATAACACAGCTGTTGAATACATTCCCAGACATGGATTACTAGGTCAGAGGGTTTATGCATTTGTGTTGCCAAATTGTCCTCCCAAGAGGTGGAACCATTCTTCCACAAGCCTATTAGGAAAATGCCTATTAACCCATAGTTCTATTTATAGGAATGTTATGAAATACAAGGATTTCTGCTAATCTGATAGGGAAAAAATGTTATAAAATGTTTTAATTTGTATTTCTAAGTGAGGTTGTTGAACATCTCCTATGCTTAAAAGCCATTTCTACTTCCTTGTCTTTGTACTTTAAATTGTTTTGGTCGTTCAGTTCTTTATAGTAATAAGAATGTGAAATAGAAATATTTTAGTAGATATTGTTTAGTCATTTCTTAAAGATGAATGAACAGTTAACATCCATAGCCTATAAGTGCAACACTTTAAATTGCATTTAATAAAATATAATTATACTAAATCTAGTCATATCTTTAATGGTTTTAGAGTAATTACAAATGGTTAGATCAAAGGTGGGGTTAATTTTTCAGACAAATTTTTAAAGTTCAAAGTAAAATCAGGTTAATCTGAGTTTTTGACCATAAAAGTAATGTTCTAAAACTACTTTAATACATGAAGAAAAATAGAAATTGTTCTAAAAATATTTTACCTTTGAGAGATGTGGTTTGTATTCCACAAAAAAATGGCATTTCCAGAACAATTAGATGGATATTGGAGAAATGAATATTTGAAATTTGGACTATCTTGTAAAGTCTAAGCTTTATGGTTACAAAATATATTCTGTTCCACACGTAAGAATGATAATCATCTTCATGGTTAGATGACAGGATTCTCTTGCTGTTCTTCAATCAGTGCATCTTTCTTGAGAAGTAAGGAGTACGCAAGTATTTTTATAACTTTACATACCAACTCTTTTTCTCTGCCTGATCTCCAATACCTTTAACTTTTTGTTCTATCATTTATAGCTTGCAGGTATTATACTTTGTGGACAGTTAATTTGGGAAGTAGTTGCTTTACCAAATGAGTGAAGTAATAAAATGGGCTAGTAGTTTGTTTATATTTTCTTAATTTATTATAAATTAAAAGTCCATTACAAATATATTTTTAGAGTTACATCAATATGGAGAGGCATCCAGCAGACATCCATCAGGTATGATGTCATTCCAGAACATTCTCTGGTACTTCATTTTTCTGTCTTATCAGCCAACTAAATTTTCCTTGATTAAACTTAATTATTTCGGTTTTTTGCCCCCATTCTCAAAACATGGAGCTGCATGACATCATCAGGTTATCCACTTGTCACACTTTAGTAATCTTACTGTTGTTTGTATGCTTGTTTTTTAGATCTAAAATTATATCAGGAAAACAATTATTGACCTACTGATTTTTTTAAGGATTAATATTTAGCTTTTCTAAAATAGTTGAAAATGTTCTGAATGCTTTCTATGAAAATCATCTAATTATAACTAACTACGATTTTATTATATGTTCCCAGATTTCGTTATTTTAAAATTGTTTTGTATGCATCAATTACAGTACTTTTCACTACACTAATAATCTATCTCCTTGTGTTATTTGAATCTTGTTTGGTTAGAAAAGTATGATAAATAGAAAAATAACATTGTTATTTTGACTATGCACATTCTTGCTTATTAAAGTTTACATGCTGATTAATGCTAAGGCAGTTCATTAGAAGATAAAATTTGAATTTCTATAAATATGTATTAAACAATTCTGTTTTAAGAAAGCAGTTGGGGCCCGGCGCGGTGGCTCAAGCCTGTAATCCCAGCACTTTGGGAGGCCAATGCAGGTGGATCACGAGGTCAACCCCATCTCTACTAAAGATACAAAAAATTAGCTGGGCATGGTGGCGTGTGCCTGTAATCCCAGCTACTCAGGAGGCTGAGGCAGAATTGCCTGAACCCAGGAGGCGGAGGTTGCGGTGAGCCGAGAGCGCGCCATTGCACTCCAGCCTGGGTAACAAGAGCGAAACTCCGTCTCAAAAAAAAAGAAAGCAGTTGGGCTGGGCACAGTGGCTTATGCCTGTAATCCCTTTACTTTGGGAGGTCAAGGCGTGCAGATCACTTGAGATCAGGAGTTTGAGACCAGCCTGGCCAACATGGCGAAACCCAGTCTCTACTAAAAATACAAAAATTAGCCAGTCTGGTGGCACATGCCTGTAATCCCAGCTATTTGGGAGGCTGAGGCAGGAGAATCACTTGAACCTTGGAGGTGGAGGTTGCAGTGAGCCGAGATCACAACACTGCACTCCAGCCTGGGTGAAAGAGTGAGACTCCATTTCAAAAAAAAAAAAGAAAGCAGTTGGTCTGAACTTTCAATCAAATACTAAAAATGCATAATTTAATTAGAATTTAAATTAACGTGAATAAGCAAAATCCAAATTTTGGAGATCATAATTAACAGTGGTAACTGACATGCTTTTATTAATAAAACACATGTAAAAGGAATGTGTATACACAAATGAATTTAAAATGGAAAATAGTTTCAATACTTTTTCAGTATTTATCTTACAATGAATTTAATGTTCATTTAAATTTAAGATGAGCATATAAATCAGAGCAAGATGATTCAAAAAAGTATTTAAGGTGACGAAATATATTTCATGTATGACTTCAACATGAACTTTTATTGTTTAATTTTGGTTACAGGGCCTTTTCACAAAGTTCTAATACATCTGAAATATATACCTTAAATCAACACCTATATTATTTCAGGATGTTAATTGGATCATAGCATTTACTTGCATTAAAAATTATGCAGCGTTGGTTGGAAAATCAAGTGAAAAAAATTGAAGCAAAGTGGAAGAATGGTGGGATAGAATGATTAGCAAACCCTTGTTGATTTAAGGTTAGATGTTAAAATAGAAATGAAGTTTTATTTCTGGTACCAAAATCTGTTAATATTCTAATAACTTGACTTCCATTTATGAGAGATAAGTTCATTATCAGAAGTACTAAATACATTGTCAGTTATAATTAAATCAGAGTGGTTTGACAAGGATATTAAAAAATCAGTGGCAAATGATATAACTGTAGTATTTTTAATTCTGTGTGTTTTAGGTATTTGTGAAGTGTCATTTTGATTACAATCCATACAATGATAACCTAATACCTTGCAAAGAAGCAGGATTGAAGTTTTCCAAAGGAGAAATTCTTCAGATTGTAAATAGAGAAGATCCAAATTGGTGGCAGGTTAGTATGCTTCTCAGAACTACTTTTCTATTTTTAATCTTAGATTTGGTCAATATCTGAATATTCAGGAAGAATATTAGTGTTTGTATTAGTATTAGCATTTGTTACAATGATTTTTCCCACATGAACAGCTCCTGCTTCATGGTTACTAATTTTCTGGACGTGAGATCAAATTGGGAGGGAATTTGCGAATATCTCTTAATAAGTGCAGAATTAACCAGCCGTTGGCACCAACTCATTGGTTTAGGGATTAGACCAATTGGTTTTTTCACATGGGTAATTTCCTTGAAATATGCTGTTCGGCAAGAAGAACTCAATTGGGACATCCCTTTTCAAAAGATATTTGGGTTTTGTTATTTTAAGTAGGAGTCTTACGATGAAATAGTCTTTCTCTTGTCTCCTCTCCCTCTTGTTTGTCATGTCAAGTAAAGCATAATTTCTTAAGATCTTCATGTGTATTTGCTCACCTCTTCTCAGATACTGGGAAATGAAGGTTTGCTCCATTAGTTTGGTTTGGGTTTGGATTAAAATCTGTGTGTATGGAAAGAGATATGTATTATCACTGCATTTTTCCCTCCTTTTTTCAGAAGATCTGTGTAATGGTATTCTTTTTTTCTTCTAATGTTGTAGCTTTCAGAAACCCCTAGCAGCAGTAATAAGTCTGTTTTTGTAATTGTTTGTATTAGCTAACAACCACAATATTCAGAACTGGAGAAACTGGCAAGTCAGGAAGTCTGAAATGCCTTAAACTATCAAAGCAAGTGAGAGTCTTACTAAAGAACAAGGAGTAGGAGGAAAGGATCCAGAACTTCGCACCAAATTCCAAAATTAACTGAGATATTGGTAACTCGCATTAGATCTAAAAAATGTATCTACTTCTAAGGGGAAACAAATCACAGAATGAGAACAATCTTACGAATGTGTCCTTAAATGTAAATTAAGACATTATTATGTAGAAGTGCACTATGTGTTGAGACAGCTAAGAAATGGGTAGATTAAACAGAATCCATGATTTTGAGAGGTCTCCACTGAATTTTTGAGACCTGTCATTTAAAAAAAATCTCTCTGGCTGTTTCCTTTATCAAATTATTCCTATTTTTTTTCTTTTTTCTATGAATACGATCTCTTAGTTTTATCTTCTTACCTGTCACCATTTTCTGTTTCTCCCTGCATTTTGATGGTCAGTTACTTTAATTCTGTTTTTCAGGATTTTTAATTGCTAAAAGTGATACCAGATTTTCTATGCTAATTATAAGGATAGAAATACTAACTTTGTGAGATAAACCACTAACAGCCAGTTCTGTAGCCACTATTTTAAAATATTTCTCTTTGGAGCTTATTATAAAAGTTAGCTGTTTTACATTAGGTAAACTTTCACCTAGTTTAAATTTACAAACTCTTGAGATATTCAGATTACTTGTAGCATAAGTTAAAATCTACACTTTATATTCCAAATAGTATCTCCTTTTCATATGATTGGGCCTGAAATACTGACATAGTAGGATTAAGGTTGACAGTAAATGTCTTACTAAAGGGTGCTAGATAAAATGTCCTGTTCACACATATAGAATAGCATTTATTTATTTTCCTTTTCTAACTTAGTATTCTAAATAAAAAATTTTAGTAATTTAATATGTATTTTGGTTCCCGAATTTCATTACCGTATGACAGATATGAAGAATTTTAGGTGCCAGTTGATTCCTCAGTGCTGAATTGTTTAACTATCTTAACTGACAATGCTATGGTTTTAAATGACAAGGTTGTTTTTAAGAGCAAATGTGACTTTTTTTTTACTGACCACTGCTTGTCCTGCGTAATAGAATATGGTCTCAAATTTTAGTCACTGAGATATACAATTCATTAATTTGATTCTAGGCTAGCCATGTAAAAGAGGGAGGAAGCGCTGGTCTCATTCCAAGCCAGTTCCTGGAAGAGAAGAGAAAGGCATTTGTTAGAAGAGACTGGGACAATTCAGGTGATGAGCGCGACACAATAAGTAACAAGCAGTCCTTTTTGGCCACCTTTCTTTGTCTCTCTTGTCTGAATAAGCAAATGAATTTATTTAAAATATATCTAGAATGAATCCCTCCCTCTGCTCTATTTTCTCTCTCATAAGTATCTTTTTATCCCTTTCTGCCACCTGCTGGTACAGTATCAAAATTTAGTGCCTTAACTCACCCCCACCCTCTTTTGCTTCCTAGGATGCAACATTGGGAAGATAATTCTCCCACCCCTGTAAAATACTATAGGGCAATTTTTTCATGTTCTGATATGCTGTTTAAGTTATATTTTTTTATCATCCTTCAGGACCTTTTTGTGGAACTATAAGTAGCAAAAAAAAGAAAAAGATGATGTATCTCACAACCAGAAATGCAGGTAGGTTTTTAAATACTTTTTGAGAAGGCCAAGTGAAGTAGCTGTGTATCATTTTGTGTGGCAGAAACTCTGAATATGCAGTTTAAAGTGAATGTAATTCAGATTAGTACCTAGTTGCAAGGGGCTGGCATATGAACACATGGTGCAATATAATATAAATTATTTAAATCTTGATATTATGTATACTACCATGTGCTTTATTTTGTGAGTATAGTTTACAGCAAAACAAATTGGTTAGGATTTTTGCTTGTCTTAATGAAGACACAATAGTATAATTGAAACTGTTTGTCCAGAGAATTTTGAAATAGTAATTTGTGTGCTATTTCTAAGGGTAGAATGCCTTTATCAGGATGTTACAAAAATTACGTTTAAAGGCAGCTGGTATCCTGCCATAACACTAACCATGATAGTTTTGGAAAAATAGTACTGGACCAAATAAATCTTAGTCTGCTCTAGTAGAATTATTTCTTAAATATTTTAGTCATGAAGAAATGTTTTTAAAAAGAAAAAAATGGTAACTATATGAGGTTACTGATATGTTTAATAGCTTAATTGAGGTAATCATTCACATTGTACACATTCATGAAACCATCAAATTGTGCACTTTATATACAATTCCTATTTGTCAATTATACCTCAGTAAAGCTGAAAAGGTTTTTAAAAACAATGTAAAATAAGACCTCAGACTTGGATTGGCTACTCCTTTGCTATTAAAAATAAATAAAAAGGAAGGAAGGGAAAGAATGGAAACTACTATATTCTTCCTAGTTACAGAGGATGACAAGAGTAAAAAACAGCTCTATAAATCAGAAGGAGGCTTAATCAAAGGAGCTGGCAATTTTAAAAGTACTTTCTTGACATCAGAGCTACCTCTATGCTGGTAATAAACTAAATAGCAAACCATGTAAGAAATAATATAGAAGGAAGAAGTGGGCTTGTTTTCTCTTAATATTGGTTTAATCTACTGTGGGGAAATTGTGCAAAGAAAGTGTTGCTATTAGTATAATAAGCAAAGGAAGGAGTATTATTACTACAGATTGAGAGTTATAGTAATGACAAGTAATATATTTCAAATCACTTTGGCCCTATTATTCATTAAATATATGCCCATAAGGCTTTTTTGCAAAATAGAAAATTTGTAATTTTCCCACTAAGATTATAATTTTGGGTTATGTTTCTAGTGAAAACGTTTGGATCTAAAATTTATATGTAAATTTCAAAATCTTAATATTTAAATGTATGTTGTCAGTAAATGTCAGTTTGTTGAATTTTCTAATCAAACTGATAATTGTAGATTTGCCATACAATATTTATTCATTTATATAATTGGAAGGTCAATCATTCTGTGGAACTTATTTAAGAAACTACAGTAAGTTTACTCCTCTCCTCCATATTTGATACATACTTTTTATATAAACCGGTCTATAATTTGATTATATTAAAGGATTTTTACTGACAAATTGATAAAAGGTTTCAGTGGATACAATCTCTGATAAATAAGGATAAAACATACAGTTTTTCTAGCTTGATGAGACAAATTTTAAGGGCAAATGGATGAAAGTAGATGTTTAAAGCAATATATAAAATAATTTATGGGTCAGGTGCAGTGGCTTATGCCTGTAATCCCAGCACTTTGGGAGGCTGAGGCAGGAGGATCACTTGAGGCCAACAGTTTGAGACCAGCCTGGGCAACATAGCAAGACCCCATCTCTACAAAAACAGTTTAAAATCATCTGGATGTGGTGGCTCATCCCTGTGGTTTCATCTACTTGGGAGACTCCTTTGAGCCCAGGAGTTCAAAGGTACTGTGAGCTAAGATTGCATCACTATACTCCACTTTGGGTGTCAGTGAGACCCTGTCTTATAAACAGTAATAAAATAATTATTATTTATTGTCCTTTGCCAAATTTGTAAAAACAAATGTGTGCTAAGTGGGTACAAGTCAAGTGATACTTAACTATTAAGACAGCTAAGCCATTGCTAGACAGAATCGCAGAGATTATTTTCATGTGTATAAAAGATGAGTGAATATGTTTTCCCATTTCCCTTTACTTTTAGAATTTGATCGTCATGAAATCCAGATATATGAAGAGGTAGCCAAAATGCCTCCCTTCCAGAGAAAAACATTAGTATTGATAGGAGCTCAAGGTGTAGGTCGAAGAAGCTTGAAAAACAGGTTCATAGTATTGAATCCCACTAGATTTGGAACTACGGTGCCATGTAAGTTTTCTGTGTTTTCCTTGCTATAGAATTGGCAGGAAAGAATATGGGCATATGGAGGAGGGGGATTATTATCATTAATTATTGCTATTCCCAAATAAGTTTTCTTTATGACAATGAAAAAGAACAAGTAAAAGACATTGAAAAATTTAGTAATTCTGCAGCTGTCTTGAAATAGTGCTGCAGTGCTATTGGCTTGCTGTCTGGTGGCAGTTGCTTCTCTAAGCTATTCAGTTCAGAAATGTTAGCATTAAATGCATATATTAGAATTGTGGCAAGATGGACATTTAGGATTTTCTTGTACTGATGTATATCTGAAAAGTTGGATTTTTCAACAATGTTAGTGTAAAGAAAAAGGGAAAGTTTCTGATCCTCAGACATACCCAGTGTGGCAACAGCTGTGTGAATGTACGTGGTCTGGCTTGTAGCTCTCAGTTGTGCAAGGTCATAAACCTGATTTTTGATAACACATGAAGAGTGATTCACCTTTTACTGTAGGCAGCATTAAGGTTACAAAGTCTGAGGTATAGAATAAAATAATACTGATGAGAAGTACAACCAGTAAGGTAACTAAACACTCATTTTAGGTCTTTGCATTCATTTCTCTATTTGCATACTTACATAGAAAGTTAAATAATCATGTCAGAATTATGTTTGATGAGAATGGAATTAGATCAAGGAGTTAGATGATGTTAGTGACTTACTGTAGTGACTAATACACATTTGTGTCTAACTGTAGTGACTAATACACACTTGTCTTTGTTTTTGAAATATGTGAGCCTTTACTTGTAAACTTAGATGTTCTCTCCCTTGAAGAAAGCAGGAGACAAGCTAACATTGCTTTCATAACTCCCTTTTCTTTGCTTCTGTTTGTGACCAAGTCCCCTTTTAACATAGCATTCCTTTAGGTATATTAATGCCTTTAAGCTGTTTTGAGTCATATCCTGGCCTAAGTTCGCCCCCTCTTAATTGAATTTTAGGTTTTGTCCAGCATATTTTGGGCCTAATTCTCAGTGAGTACTTTTATTGCTAAAATTCTTAAAAGTTAGGAAAATAATCTTGTCATTGCCCCCATGTGCCGCTTACAATCCCTTCAGGGTAAGTCTTCAGATTCTACCATAGGCATTGAAAATCACTAAATTTAGACAACTCCTAGTTTAGTGGTTAACAAACAAAAACTTCACTGTAATTAAAGTATGTTAAACTTGCAATTGTGAAAAAAAGAAAAGGTTTTTTGCTTTTATCAAATTAATATGTGCCCAATATTTTCAGCAAGTAGTTCTTAAAGACATATAATGGGAAAAAAATAACCCCTTCTCTTCCCCTGCCTCACCACTGGCTTACTTATGAGAAACAGTCACTTTTTATTCTTTTTGCTATTTCTTTTGGTAGTGTTCCATATTTCTTAATAATGTCTTTAGTCTGCTGTTTCCTGCTTTAGCCAGTTTAGGCCTTATCTGTTTACCTCCTGACTTCCAATATAAAGATAGCTCTATTTTCAGTTAGTTCAATTTTACCTTCTTAAACAGCCTTTTCCCCTTGTGTGACCCAGGAATCTCTGGAGTTCTGTTTTTCCTTATACTAACTGATTTTATATACATGTGTCTTATATACATGTGCATACAGTGTTTTGTTGCTTTTTTAAACCAAGGACTTGTTTATCCAGTAAGTTGTGTTTTTGTTTTGTTTTGTTTTGTTTTTTTCTGGAGTTCTCTGTCTCAGAAACTCTGTCTTTCTGCTTGGATGAGGACTACATGCTGTCTCTCTGACTGCCCAAGTGTTAATACTGGAGTAGTTAGTTCCCTTTGTTGTTATCCTGGGTTGAAGCAGTTGTTCCCAGATCCCATTCTCTCTCTTTCTTGGTTTCTCACCTCGTTTTGCTGGGGCACATCCTCTTGTACATGGAATGCAATGCCTCCATCTTTATGTTTTAAAATGTATATTTTCTGCCCTTTATTTGGCTAATTAGCTGAGAATAGAACTCTGGATTGTAGAATTTAAAAGCTGTTACAATGTTTGCATCATCCCCCAAAGATTCTCTGTACCCATTTCCCACCAGCCTTCTCACCCGCTGCTGCCACAGGCAATTATGAATATTTCTGTCACAATAGATTTACTTATTGTGGACATTTTGTATGCTAGAGTTATACAATATGTGATATTTTGTGACTGGCTTCTTAAAATAATGTCCAGTCTCATCTGTGTTATAGCATGTATCAGTACTTAATTTTTTTTCCTTGCTAAGTGATATTCTATTATATGACTATACCATATTTTATTTATATATTCATCAGTTGATGGACATTCAGATTTTTTTTTTTTTTTTTTTTTTAGCTATTGTGAATAATGCTACAGTCAGCATTTGTATACAGGTATTTGTGTGGACATATGCCTGTTTCTTTTGGGCATATACTTAGGAATGGAATTTGTGGGTTATATAGTGACTATATGTTTAACCTTTAGAATAACTTCCACACTGTTTTCCATAGTGGCTGTACATGTATCCTTTCACAATCCCAGCAGTGTATAAAGTTTCCAGTTTCTCCACATCCTCACCAACATTTGCCATCTGGCTTTATAGTCATCCTAGTGGGTGTAAAGTTGTATCTCATTTTGGTTCTCATTTGCATTTCCTTAACGGCTGATAATGTCAAACAACTTTTCATGTACATATTTGCCATTTATGTATTTTCTTTGGAGAAATGTCTCTTCAAACTGGTTGCCCATTTTTCAATTAGGTGATCTTTTTCTTAAGGTGTAAGAGGAGGTCATATTATATTCTGGATACAAGTTCCTTACTAGGTACATGATTTGCAAATATTTATATTTTCTCTCATTCATTGGTGACTTCTCATGTTTTTGTTGGTGTCCTTTGATAGACAAGTTTTTCATTTTGATGAAGTCCAATTTTATGTATCTTTTGTTGCTCATACTTTTTGTATCATATCAAATATGATACTATATCAAAGCTTTCCCTAATCCAGGGCCACAAAATTTTATACCCATATTTTATTTTAAGAGCTTTATACTACTAGCTGTTACATGCAGATTATAGGATCAGTTTTGTGTCATATGTGAGGAGAGAGTTCCAACTTTATTCTTTTGCTTGCACATACCCAGTTGTCACAACACAATTTGTCAAAAAACATAGTCCTTTCCTCCAATGAATTGTCTTGCCACCCTTTTTGAAAATCAGTTGATTGTAAATGTGAAGATTTATTTATGAACTTGCAATTCTGTTCCATTAATCTAGATGTCAGTCCTTATGCCTGTCCCACATTGTCTTGATTACTGTATATTTGTAATAAGTTTCAAAATCAGGAATTGAGAATCTTCCCAACTTGTTTCTTTTTAAGCTTGTTTGGCCCTTCTGGTTCCTGGCATTTCTGTATAAATTGTAAGGTAAGCTTCCAATTTCTGCAGAAAAAGTAGCTAGAATTTTAAGAAGAATTATATGGACTCTCTAGACCAACTTGAGGACTATTGCCATCTTAACAATATTAATTCTTTTAGTCTATAAGCATGGATGTCTTTCTGTTTATTTAGGTCTTTATTTTAATGCTATTTGTGGCTTCCATTGTACAAATTTTATGCTTCTTAGTCACATTTATTCCTGAGTATTTTATTCTTTTTTATTTTATAGCAAAACATATTTTCTTATTTATTTTTTTTTTGGATTGTTCCTTGCTAGTGTATAGAAATACAACTGATTTTTGTGTATTGGCTTTGTTTTTTAGCCTTATTCACCTCATTGATTCTAATGATGATTTTTTTTGTGTGTGGGTTCCTCAGGATTTTCTATATACAAAATCATGTCATCTGCAAATATAGTTTTACTTGTTCCAATCTGGGTGCTGTTTATGTCTTTGCCTTGTCTAATTGCCTGAACTAGAACCTGCAGTATAATGTGTAATAGTGTAATAGAAGTGGCAAAAGTGGACATTTTTGTCTTGTTCATGATTTTATGGAGAAAGGAGAAAGCATTCCATCTTTCCATTTTAGCTGTGGGTTTTTCATAGAGGCCTTTCATCAAATTGGAGAAGTTCCCTTCTGTTCCTACTTTGTAGACTTTTTATCAAGAAAGGGTGCTAGATCTTGCCAAATGCTTTTTCTTTGTCTGTTGATGGGTCATATGATTTTTGTTTTTCATTGTTTTCTATTCATAATGATGTATTGCATTCATTGATTTTCATATATTGAACCAACATTGTATCATGTGGTAAATTCCAAAAAGATGGTCATGATGTGCCATCTTTTTTTATATACTTCTAGATTCAGTTGCTTGTAGTTTGTCAGGATTTTTGCATCTATATTTATAAGGGATGTTGGTCTATAGTTTTCATTCCTTGTGATGTCATTGTCTAGCTTTGATTATAATATAGGACTTATAGAATTAGTTGTGAAATATTCTTTCTTTTTTCATTGTTTTGGAAGAATATGTGAAGGATTAGTTATAATTTTTTTCAGTGTTTGATGAAATTCACCCATGAAGCTATTTGACCCTGAGCTTTTCTTTGCAGGAAGTTTTGATTATTAATTCAGTCTCTTTACTTGTTACAGGTCAACTTGGATTTTTATTTTTTAATCAGTTTCAGGATTTCTGTGGGATTCATAGTAATTTTTTTTTTCATTTCTGATTTTAGAAATTTCAATCTTCCATCTTTTATTCTTAGTCTTAGTAAAGATTTGTCAGTTTTTTTGATCTGTTGAGACAACCAAATTTTGCCTTCGCTGATTTTCTATGTTTTTTCCGCTTTCTAATTTTCGCTATAATCTTTATTATTTTCTTCTTTCTAAGTATACTTTGGGTTTATTTTACTCTTTTTCTGTTGTTTTTTGGTTTTTTTTAGGTAGAAAATTAAGTTATTGATTTGAGATCTTCTTTTTTAACATAGGCATTCACAGCTATAAATTTCCCTCTAAGTAATGTTTTAGTTGCATCCAAAAGTTTTTGGTATGCTGTGTTTTTGTTGTCATTCATCTCAGAGTACTTTTGATTTGTGTGGGGTTTTTTTTTTTTCAAATAGGTTCAATGGCACATTTTTCTGTAGATGGTTACAGAGACTTTAAAACTATAATCCTGAATGTACAGCTATGCAACACACCAATTAGCCAGATCTAAAATAATAAACTGGCTTCTTCCCATAACTATTATGTTCCAACCCTTCTTCCCTCCACAATAACCCTAAATCTTACATGAAAACAGTTACTATGGCAGAACTGGAACCTATCTTTGTGGCCCAAAGTAAAAACCAAAGAAGAAATAGCAATTCATTGGTTAGTTGGCGAAACCAAGAAATGCAGTGCCCTTCACTGTGCTGCTTCCTCTTATTCGTTTTGTCCCTATTCTTCAGCGCATCCATGTTAGCTCTTAATACATTTGAATTAGCCATATGTTTCAACTCTTTAGAGCTCACCACAGCACTGATCTTTTTCCCATCAGTAGCTTTTAAGACAGTTGTCGAGGGCTTAAAGCCCTCCACAGAACCTTTTCTTAGAATGGGTTTAGTTCAACCATTATACGTCTTCAAGGTAATGAACATGCTGCTGGACAATTGGCACTCTGGAAGAGCCTGGTCAGCTTGTCTGTAACTGTGCTCTTCAACAGCACCATCTACTCTCAAAGTATTTTCTTTCACTTGTGATTGCTTATTTGATCCATTGGCTGTTTGGGAGTATATTGCTTATTTTCAAATTTCTAAAATTTTCTCTGTTACTAAATTAAGGCAATTTAACTTTATATATTACAAATGATCCTAAAATAAAATAGAAAAACATTGATATTTTAGGTAGATAGGCTGTTATAAATCCCGTTTTCTCTTTAACATTGGGATCTTGAGCTTAGTTAACAAATGAAATATTACTTTGTTGATTGTTTCTTCATTATTGGAAGAGCAGCTTAAATTAAGAATTTTGCCTATCACAAAAAAATTACTTCTAAAAAATCACATCATGTAGTTGCTCAGTGTAGAACTGTAAGGAATCAGTTGTAGTCAAACCTTCATGTTCTAATTTCTCTGTTCTGAAATATAAAGCACTTTGAATATGTGGCAATATAGATTGTTTTTTGGAGTGTTGGTAGAGAATAGGATTGTAGTTAAAATTTATGTAAAACTAACATTTCTCTAAGAATTAAAATTCCCTCAAAAAAGCCCACTGCTTTTTAAAATTAATGTACACAATGTTGAGCCAAGTCCTATTATGCATTTATTTGGGCAGTCAAAAGTTGCCTTAGAAGTTTTACTGTGCACCTTTGGTCAATAATTCCAGCAACCTTAAACATCACACAGTTTTGAGTATGAATATGATGACTATCATAGCATCCTGAAGATTCTCAAAGATACTTTATAAACACTCTTCACAGTAGTCTAAGATGACTACTCTCAAGGTTGAGCCCGAAAACAGGGGGAGAAGGGGAGTCCTATTATACCTAATGATCTCATTTGACTCTTATTTTTGAGCATTAGTTTGAAGTTTATTTTGTTCTTAAAAAAGTTTTCTGTGTCTTATGCTTATTGAAAGTAGTCAGAACACTGTCATCTTTTTATTTGGATTACTTTCTTAGTTTAATTTGGTGTACTTAATAATTCCATCAGTTATTCTGCAACTACTTAGCTAATAGAAGTAGGATACGTCTTATATCTGATCCATCCAAGCCCAGGGAAAGACTAAGCTTGAAATAACACACTCAAAAATTAGTTTTATTCTTCAAAGCTAATGTTAACAAAATTGTCAGAGAGTATACCTTTGCAACAGTTTAAAAAATGATAACCATTCCTAGCAAAGGGTTGTGTCTCTGCAAGTATTCAAAGCTCTAAAATATCAGACAAAAGGATCTCCTACTTCTAAATTTTGACTTGAGCTATTCAGTTTCTCATTCTCCCAGAAATAATGTGTCGGGTCAGAGTAGGAAGGTTAATAGACCATGATAATAATGAGGTGGCTAGCTCTACCCCTGAATTGTAAAATAGAACAATTAATCACTGGGAATATCGACAAACAAGAAGCTAAAAGAAAGGGTTGGTTTTGAGATAAAATATAGGATAATTTGTGGGTAAAACTACACTTTAAAAAATTGGTATTACAACTAAGAATAGGTGAACTTTGCTAACCTTTTGGGGCACTTAGGAAGTGTTAAAGTGGAAAGAAAGGATGTAATAGATTCCTAAGAAGTAGAGTGCTGGTCAGTTGAAAAAATACTCACTTGCAACATGCCTCACACTTATTAAAATGTAGCATAATTAAGAACTTCATTGAAGGCTCTGCAGCTAAGTAAATATATTTGGAGTTTCAAAGTGATTTTAAGAATCATATTTTTGGATACAAATTTTATGTTGGGGACTACCTCTTAAAATATTCCTCTAAGGTATCAAGAAACTCTTTCTATTAAAGGGCCACATAATAAAGTTTTAGGCTTTTTAGTCCATACAGTCTGTCACAATTACTACCACCATTTTAATGGGAAAGAAACCATGTATGATACATAAACATGAGTATGACTGTGGTTCAATCTGTTTCTTATTTACAAAAATAAGAAACAGATCAGATTTGGCCATAGGCTGTAGTTTGCTGCACCAGGTAGAAAAATGTTAAGCTACCCTGTGTACTTTATTTTTTATGCCCTACAATTTCTTTGTACAAAAATCTCAACATTAGTTACTTCACGGAAACCAAGGGAAGATGAAAAAGACGGCCAGGCATATAAGTTTGTGTCACGATCTGAGATGGAAGCAGATATTAAAGCCGGAAAGTATTTGGAACATGGGGAATATGAAGGAAATCTCTATGGAACCAAAATTGATTCTATTCTTGAGGTTGTCCAAACTGGACGGACTTGCATTCTGGATGTCAACCCACAGGTAAGCTGATTTGATTCCAAAGCTGTTTTTTATATTTTGTTTTCTGTGGAGTTTTTTCATGTGTGTCAGGGGATGGTGGGTTGGGGTTGTTTTGTCAGGGTGGAAAGGTGGCTCTTTCTTTCTGTTTCCTTTGGGTGTTAGAGAATGTTATTATGTATACATAGCTAGTTAAATAAATCTCTAAACAATTAGCCAACAGAGGCTTGGGTGGCAATAGAAACTGTGTGATTAGATCTACGGTGGAAGTTTAGTATGTATTTATTTACCTGTTCAGGTAATGCATAAATGCTTGTGTTAAGAAATGTTAAGTTTAAAATTCAAGTCTGCAGTATAAAGAATAAAAAATCACTCCCCCTCCTACCTGACACACACACATACCTCTACACTATTCATTTTATTCTCACTCTGTGTTTCTCTCTCATCTACCCCTTCCCACTCCGCTGCACTCAGCCCAACCTCACTTCCATGGTCAGAGATAAGAATTGTTAATAGTTTCTTATGTACCTTTCTAGTCATTTTACTATGCCTTAAATACAAATACATATAAGGTAATGGATTTTCTGTTTTTGTTGTTTGTTTGTTTTTTTAAATAAATGGAAAAATTTTATATAGATTCTTCAGGGGTTTTATTATATAGTACTATTTCTTGAAGATCTTTTTATGGTAGTTATTATAGAGCTTTTTTTCTTTGTAACTGCTATATAGTACTTTATAGTATGAATGTATATTCATTTATTTAACTACTCTCCAATTAATCAACATTGAGGTTATTTCTACTTTTTCAATATTAACAGAATTCTACAATTTAACATAAAAAGAGTTTACATCACTCTTGATTTTTGATCATTGTTTTATACTTTCCTTTGTTCAAGAGGAACAGACCGAGTTCAGAACAAAATAAATGGATCATTATTTTAAGAAAGTACTATATGGAATGAGAAGAACAGAATGGGGATAGGTATTAAATTATGTCGTTTAATCCACAGGACAAGTGCAAATAGTCTTTGATTTATACTAAAGGTAGCAGAATTCTGGTTCTCTATTATTGTATAAATTATAATTATTCTTTTACACAGGCATTGAAAGTATTGAGGACATCAGAGTTCATGCCCTATGTGGTCTTTATTGCTGCTCCAGAGTTAGAGACATTACGTGCCATGCACAAAGCTGTGGTGGATGCAGGAATCACTACCAAGCTTCTGACGGTGAGCCAGCCATGCGATTTCCCTTCTAAAATTTTTCCTTTTCTTTTGAGCATGTTTAACTCTTATCTTTTTTTTTTTTTTTGAGGTAGAGTCTCCCTTTGTCGCCTGGGCTGGAATGCAGTGGAGGTTGGCTCACTGCAACCTCCATCTCCCAGGTTCAAGCAGTTCTCCTGCCTCAGCCCCCTAGGTAGCTGAGATTGCAGGTGTGCACCAATACATAAAAATTTGTGTATTTTTAGTAGAGATGGGGTTTCACCATGTTGACCAAGCTGGTCTCATCCTGACCTCAGGTAAACTGTCCACCTCGGCCTCTCAAAGAGCTGGGATTACAGGCTTGACCCACCACGCCTGGCCATCTCTTATCTAATTATGCTTATGAAATAAAAATTATGCTTATGAAATTCTGTATAAGGCACTACAGAATAAAAATTCATTAGATGTAGTTAGGTTCTGGAAAAGTATTCTTTTACTTGAAAATTATTGTTCACTTTATTTAAATCAAAAGTTTAGTTCTGCTTTGTAAAGTAAAATGGACCAATATTAAAATATACATATTAATTGAACCCTTTTATTTTGTAGTGGGGTAACTGGGCTCCAAGACCATAAGCAGTCATGTTTATTATATGGTTTATCATTGGTAGAGTCAGGTATTCTAATGTTTAGGTTCTATTACATGTTTTCTCCTTTTTTTCCCTCTTTCATTTATGGAAACTTAAAAACATACACAAAAGAGGGAAAAAATGAGCCCCATATGCCCATCACCTGGCTTCAATAATCATGGGAATTTCTTGTTTTAATTAGACCCCTCCCTTCTTCCTCCTCACCTTGAATTCAAATTTTGAAGCAAATTTTTGATATCATGTCATCCATAAATACTTCAGTATTCATATCTAAAAGATAGACTCTTAAAATGTAATACCATTAAATGTCTTACTGTTATCTACATGCAATCTACATTTGAATTTCCCCAAGGTTTTTTTTTTCTTAAGTTGATTTGTTCAAATCAGGATTCAAACAAAATCAACACATTGAATTTCTTTGATGTCATCTAAATCTTTTTTCCAGCCTAAATCAGGTATAGTTAGCTATACCTACCTAACGTGTCCAGCTTGATCAGTTTCGCCATATATTTGTACTCATGAGCCATTACAACCAAAATTTGAACATCTCCATCATCTCCACACATTTGCCTGTGCTCCTTTGTAACCTGCTCCCTGCACCCTTACCCCCACCACTCCCACCTTTCTCCCGACTGTACTTGATTATATACCATGAAATCAGGTAGTATTAGTGTTCTTTTTCAAGTTGATATAGTCTCTACTTTCTGAATATATGCAACATCCTTATAATAAGTGTTCAGTGTCTTTGCAAATTCTAACATTTGAGTCAGTTCTCATTTGCTTTTGATTGAATTATTTTTCTCTTTATTATGGGTGTATCTTCCTGCTTCTTTGCAATCCTGCTAACTCTTTTTGGATGCCATACATTGTGAGCTTTGTTCTAGGATGCAGTTATTTGAAAACAGTCGCTTTTTTCAGGTCTCACTTTTAAAATTAGTCAGGTAGGACCCAAGCAGTTCTCATTTTAGGACCAGTTATTCCCCACAAATAAGGCAAGTCCCATTTGGTACTCCTACCACAGGGCCTGTCAGTCATGAGGTTTTCTATTCTGGCTAAGGGGGAATAGGTACCATTCCTGGCTGGGTATGAGTACTATGAGTACCTCTAATCCTTTCTGGGGGTTCTTTTTCAGCTTCAGGTCGTTGTACCTGTGTACAGGTTAGTACTCAGCTGAATGCTGGAAGGAGACCTCCTGCAAATCTCCAAAGTCTGTCTGTGCTGCTCTTCCCCTCCAGCATTCCAGCCTCCAAACTCTTGCCACCTGGGCCTCCATGGACTCAGCTCTGTCCTCAACCCAGAGTCCTATAGGCTTCTCTGGGCTCATTCTCCCCAATCTACTGCCCAGAAACTCTTTCAAGCCAGTAAACTGGGGTAATCCTAAGACTCACTTCATTTGTTTTCTATCCTTCTTGAATCTCTGTTTTTAATATTTTGATATATAGTGTCTTAAAAATTGTTGTTTCATACATTTTGTCCATAAATTGCTAGGTGGAAGAGTTAGTCTGGTGCCTGTTACTCCATCTTGGCTAGAAAAGCAGACCTCTCTTTAGTACCTCTTAATCCACCCCCCCCCTTTTCACTTTGCAATTTAGTTGTTAAAACAAAAGTAGGTCATTTATCCTACAGCATGTTCCATAGTCTGGATTTTACCCATTCTGTCCCATTGTGCCATTTTCCTCTATTCCTTCTATTTCCTGTAAACTGCTAGGTTCCTCTATAGGGTTGGTCAAACAGATTCAGGTTATTCAGGTTTTCTGTTGGTTTGCTTGTTTTTTGAAAGAAAAATTCATAAGTGGTACTTGTTTTATTACATCATGAGGCATATGTCAGGCTGTCTTTCTTTTTGTTATAAGTTTAATCAGTGAGGGGTCAGAAGTTGTTAGCCTGATCTATAAAGTTCCTCCGTAATTCTTTACCTACTGGTTTTAGCAAACTTTAGTGATCTTTGCCTTGGACAAATTATTTTTTTAGAGATAGCAAAGTGGTAGTATTCTGAATTTGTCATTCCTTCTACATTTATAAACTAGAATTCTTAAAAAGAACTTTTCAAAAAAAAAAAAAAAAGAACTTTTCATCATCAAGTAGTTGATTATTCTGAGGTATGTTTCGTACAGAAAAGGCGGGATACATGTTTGATACTGTCCCTTTGTAGGTTAGCTTTCAGAATAATGAGTTTATTCCCCAAGAGCCTCCATAGATGTCAGGTGACCAGGTGCGGTTGGCTTTTAGTTTCATGAGCACATAAGTTCAGACTTATTTGATGTGCTTTACTCTGTGCAATGATTATTCTTATTGATGCTCAGATTGTCCCATCTTTGACCAATAGGAGCTTATTCTAGTTGGCCCTTGGGACCTTTTTTTTCATGACTCTGATAGTCTTGCATAGCTTCCTTGCTATCTGGTAGAACAAATGTACCAGGCTCATCTTGTACATTTTCTATTCTAGGCCAGGAATCAGCCATTTTTCCAAGACACTTTGGTTTCTTTTAGGGTAAATGGTCTTTTAAGACCATAATACTAACAGTGCCCACTGTCACAGAGTTGATCATTGCTTCTTGCTAGACCTTTTTATGTAGACAGTAGTATATATGCTTTTCTCTTTGTATGTTTGAAGGAAAATATATCATGAATTCATTCTGATATTTTCCAATCAAATTCAAGATTACAGGCTTTTTATTTTATACGTCTAATTCCTTTCTTTTATCCTGAATATCCCAGTTCTCAAAAACACTGGAAATGTTGGAATTAGACTATCAAGTAATTGCTCATTTGCTTTATTCCACAGTACAAACACATTATGGGAATAAGTATATCAACACAACCACCACCAGTATAATTCCTGTGAACACCCCCAAACCCCCTACCTGGTTTTTTCTCTCTTTAGAGTATATCCAACTAAGTATATACAGTCAGATCACTATGTTTTAAAGTCACTTAAAGTACCTCCACTCTGTGTATTTAGCTCAGTTTTTTTTTTTTTGAGACAGAATCTCACTCCATCACCAGGCGCCAGGCTGGAGTGCAGTGGCGCGACCTCGGCTCACTGCAACCTCCACCTCCCGGGTTCAAGCAATTCTCCTGCCTCAGCCTCCTGAGTAGCTTGGACTACAGGCATGCGCCACCACACCCAGCTAATTTTTTTGTATTTTTAGTGGAGATGGGACAGTTACTCATTTTAATGTTTAAATTGCTGTGTCTTCAGCTACTGGGAGTCTATTCAACTTGCCTTCTGAGTCTTTTTAACACAATTCTAGTAGTATTTGATGATTCCTTGCTTTCTCATATCACAAGATGTTCCAGATTATTCTACATTTTCTGGCCCAGACCTGGAACCAGCCATTAGAAGTCCTTGTTTCTTTTAGTGGGAGATAGTATTTAAAGATAATTAATTCAATAAGGGTGTACATTGAACTCAGTTGGACATTGTTTTTAGACCTTTTCAGTAGCCAGAGGTAGGAAATAATTTTTTCTTTTCTTAGAAAACATACATCATTAGTTCAATTTGATAGCTTCAAATGAAATTTTACATTATTCTTACTTTTTTGGCTTTATGTTTGCCTTTTTTTCCCCTCTCATCCTGAAAACCCTAGTTCCTGATGATATTAACATCATCTCTTATCTTACATGTATGTAAATATAAACTAAGTACACGTACACATGTAATTTCTGAGTAATATCTGTGATATTAGCAATATGATTATTGAAAAGTTTTAAGTTTCAGGCTTTTATTAACTGTTCTTAGGATATATCTCACTAGATTTTTTTTTCTTTCAACTTTTAAGTTCTGGGATTCATGTGCAGGATGTACAGGTTTGTTACATAGGTAAATGTGTGCCATGTTGGTTTGCGGCACAGATTAACCCATCACCTAGGTATTAAGCCCAGCATCTATTAGCTGTTCTTTGTGATTATCTCCTTCCCCCATGCTCCCACCCTGACAGGCCCCAGTGTGTATTATTTCCTACCATGTGTCCATGTATCCTCATCGTTCAGCTCTCACTTATACCACACTAGATATTCTTTTCTTTTAAAGAAAAGTCACTGAAATAATTCCTTGCTGTATGGTTAAACCACCAACTTGAAACACAGGTTTATTTGTTTTATTTTGCTTCTAATTTTAAAGAATTGCTTTTTTAAATTTGAATTTAAATTTTGTTGTATAACTCTATACAACATTTGTATCGCTCCAACATAAATCTTAAAACAAATCTAGCTTTTCTGTGCTCTCTACACTGTTTCCTTCCACCCACATAGGCTGCCATTGTTGGTAGCCATTTTACCATATTAGCTTCTAATATAAGCAAGTGTGCCTGTGTATCTGCCTTCCCCCTGTTTTATACACAAATAGTAGCTTATATACAAAATGTATCTGCATTTTTCCATACCACTATATCCTGGAGACCACTCTGTAGCCAGAGAGAGAATCTTTATTCCTGTTCCATCTGTATAGTATACTCCATTATTGTTAACAGGCTTTGTTTTTTAACAAATCAAATTGCTAATGGCTATAATTGGCAAGGATTGCTTTCAAGTTGAATTGTGGCATGTTTATACATCTGTAATCAAATATATTTTAATTGTTTCAAACTCATTTAGAAATCTCAGTTTTAGCTGAGATTAGTATTAGGGTTCTTCAGGTCTAGCAGTGAATCCAATCCTCTCTCTATACTTTCTACACAAATGACATTCTTGATCCATCAACATCATTTACATTTATGCCATTGTTCTGCTAATGATTTATATGTAGCTAACTCAGACCTCAGAGCTCTAATTTTATAACAGTCACCTGCTGTACATCTCCACTAGGATGTCTCACAGATATCTTAAGCTTACTATATTACAAAGTAACACACTTTGTTTCCCACAGAAAGTATGCTCTCCTCACTCCTCAACTCTGCATCTCACACAGCCACCCATTTACCTAAGCTAGAAACCTAAGAGCAGTTCTCGACTCATTCCTTTTCCTCCCTTTTCAAGTCCTGGATGATGTAAAAAGCTAATCCTGATGATTGTATCACCAAAATAAATTTCCATTCTGGTGTCATTTTCATCTCCTCTGTTATCACCATCACCTTCTCTCTGACCTGGATGCCTGCCATCAGTCTCCCTGCTTCCACTCATGTCATGTCACATTGTCACTCGGGGTCTTTCTATCTCATAGGGGTCCTTCATGACCTACCTTGTTCCCCAGCCCTTCACCCATTCTGGTCTTCTTTCAGTACCTTAAACATGCCAAGGTTGTTTCCTTCCTCTGGGTTTTTCCCTGCTATTTGCTCTACCTGGATGCTGATCTCTTTATTTTCATTTCGTTCTCAGCTTAACTGTCATTTACTACTCAGTCTCTTTCCAATCACTTTAAAGTAGATCTCTTAAAATTCTTTGTACTCGTTTTGTTTCCTTTATGGTAATTATCACAACTTGCAATTTTTTATGTTTATTTCCTCTTTATTTCCTTCACTAAAGGATAGAAATCCTCTCATTCATTGTCATACCCACTGATTCTGAAACATAGTAGATATCTTAATAGGAACTCAATAAAATCTGTAGAATATGTAGAAGTACAGTAAAATTCAAAACACCATCTTATGAAAAGCTTTACTTGCTTAGGTAGAACCCATTGCTTATGTACTCCCCACATCATTTCAAAATGACGAAAACTACTTTATGAAATATAAACAGTGCATGGACAAAAACATAAATAAAAGTATGTGAGTGTGTGTTTTGGAGGAGGATGGGCAGCATGTAAGATTAATCTTCAAAAAACACTTCTAAGATTCTCTGACCTTATCTTAAAGAGAGGTAGCAAATTTGGCTTTGAACTTAACAACCACTTCAAATTGAGTTCCATGATGTTCTGTACCTAGACCATAAGATAAAAAAATCTTTTGAAAAGGATGATACAGTTGAGCTCGAAACCAGTCACATGCAGTAATTCTGTTACCATAGATTCATAATCTTTTCATTAGAAACTTTATCCTAATATCAGTGAAACAGAAGATGCAAAATACTCATAAATGTAAAATGAGTGTTAATGGAAAGACTAAGATGTGGACAGATGTCAGTGTCATCTTTAACACTCTATGGATTAGATTTTGAGGATTAATACCAGAATTACAAGAAATATATCTAACCTATTATATCCACTTCTAGTTGGAGTTTGAGCAAGTAAATAATGCATTGTAATACAAACATTTCCTTTTAAAACTCTTCAACAGGACTCTGACTTGAAGAAAACAGTGGATGAAAGTGCACGGATTCAGAGAGCGTACAATCACTATTTTGATTTGATCATCATAAATGACAATTTAGACAAAGCCTTTGAAAAACTACAGACTGCCATAGAGAAACTGAGAATGGAACCACAGTGGGTCCCAATCAGCTGGGTTTACTGATGATTCAGTAAGGTTAACAATGAAAATTAAACTTTTCAAAAGTGACTGCAACAAATAAACCTTCTACTGAGAAAATACATCACAGATAGAAGATATCTGCCAAGTTCAGGCATTTTTATGGTGTAAATTGAAATAACAGTACACTGTTCTGAATTTTTATATAAAATGTGGTTGGGAAGGTGTACTAATATATAATTTATCTTAATTTTTCTAACTTTGTATGGATAATCTTTCTATTCATATCACATAAAGAAATGCGTTGAAGCATTTTGTATATGTTTTGATTTAGTACCCTTGCCTTTTTCATCAAAGGAATTTTCAAATCATTCACTCTAACATTGGTCTCACATTTCACTGTGATAATTAATATTACTTGAAATAGTTTTGTAAAGCTGTCATTTAGTTCAGTATTCAAATAGTGAAGGGTTAGTCTTATCAGAAGAAAATAGTTACTGACCTTCCTTATAAATTTCTTACAAAAGCAGAATTTTAATGTCAGTGTTAATAGCTAGTCTACTACCATCTAAATCTGATATCAAAAGTCTGATCAGTTTATATATTTTCATTATTTCAGAGATGTATGGCTATCCATTTTAATTTAAACAGATACATTAGTTTTGTCTCTTCATTTCTATCTTTACTGAAAAATTGAAGAGCAATACCTTGCACTCTCTTATGAAGTTATTCTTTTTATTTGTTGCAGTGATATACTGATGCTAACTAATTTAATATGTACACAGTAAGCTCTGGGGTTGGAAGCAAGGTCATGCAGACTGAGAGAGTGCCTTATCCTATAAAACCTTACAGCAAAATGACACTTGAAGAAAGCTTATTTATTTTCACATGTAAAATTTTAACTGACAAAAGGACCCTACTACTTTAAACAATGTTTTTATTAGAACATGGTCAGCAAATGTGTCATGCCTCTGCAAATTTTTGTTATGTTTAAAGATGCCTCTAAGTTTGCAGTTGGAGGTTTTTGTGAATAATTAATGTGCTTTTAGAAATGTGATGTGATCCTGGGGGTGCCTATTTTGTCTGTTGTGTTGAGAACCAAATCCATTGAACAACTTAAAAAATTTGGAAATAATTGTCAGCTATTTTGTTTACATACACACAAAATATATACATTATATAATATGTATATTATGTATTATATAATATATATTAAATGTTTTGTACATTTTTTACATATCTGTTAAGAAATCTTTTTTTTTTTTGAGATGGAGTCTCTCTCCATTGCCCGGGCTGGAGTGCAATGGTGTGATCTTGGCTCTCTGCAACCTCCACCTCCTGGGTTCATGAGATTCTTGTGCCTCAGCCTCCCAAGTAGCTGGGATTACAGATGCGCACCACCGTTCCCGGCTAATTTTGTATTTTTAGTAGAGACAGGGTTTCACCATGTTGGCCAGGCTGGTCTTGAACTCCTGACCTCAAGTGATCCCCCACCTTGGGCTCCCAAAGTGCTTGGATTACAGGCATGAGCCATTGCGCCTGGACAGAAAATGTACTTTTTGTTTAATGATTGTGGAAAGAAGTTCTTTAGATGCATTGACTTATATAAATTCCCACATACACCTCAGTTAATATCTTCCTTTAGGATTCTTGGATAATAGAAATTCTTTGTAAAACATATTCAGAGATGCAGTTCATTATTAAATTACAGTAACCATATTCAATATTGTTGCTAGCTTTCCATTAAACACTATTCACACTTTAAAGGCTTACTTACTTAAATATTGATGTTTATCTTTGTCTGGTGTTAGGCGCCAGACATGTGACTGCTGAATTTATTTTTTCCCTCACCAAAAGTTGTCACATGGAATGCCAGCTGGGAGGACTTTGAGGGAAAAGAAAATATATGACAAAAAGCAGTATTCACGCATTGTTTAAAATATTTTTCACAATAAAATAAAACACCCAAGTTGTCATACTGTTAAAGTTGGAAAGCTATAGGTTTTTCTTTTTGTTAACTGTAGATTTCATGGCCAGAACACAAATTCACATTTCTTGTCCCTGGACAGGGAATTGGTAACAAAATGGATTGTACTATTTTAATAACTGTGGAAACTTTTAAACTACATGTATTTACACCAAATTCTTGGCTTCTTAAAGCAACATGAATCAAAGCACAGTATCAAGGTGAGGCCCTATGACTTGGTGTTTCAACATACACTGGAAATTTTAAGAAAAATTTCAGTTCTGCAGTCTCAGGAATCGTGCTGTATTGTCTAATGTACTTTCATGCTACAGCATGGAGCCTCTTTAAACAGCTTTGGGATAATTATAGCAGCACAAGAAGTTTATCTGCAAAATATTTCAATTATCTTGGTACAATAGATGACTTTTACATCATGTATATTGTTAGCCTTATGTGATATAAAATGTATTACTTAGAAAATATACTTAAAGGAATTATTTCTATTATAAATGGTATTCATGATTAACTACTTCATTAATGCTCATTAGATTTCTCCTAATATAAAATGAAATGATGCAGTTTAGTTCATTTCAGTCTAGACGCCAATGCTAACAATAATATATTTGGATAAGTTCATTGTATCTCAATGAAGAATCATTGAACTTGAAACCCAAGTCCCATATGAATCTGCAGGAACAAGCAGTGCTCTGCTGGGGCAAGAAGCTCCAGAGGTTCTGGGTTCTCCCTAGGTAATGAGAGTATAGCTGTGATCAAGGAAATATGAACTTGTCTTTTGGGAAGATCTGAGGTGATTAGCATTATAAAAGAGAAAATGGTTTAGAGTGATGTTGAGCAATTGGTAAGGGTTGAAATACACACATTCATGTGCTTTTGGGAAACATGATGTGCCAACACATTAATGTGCCTGAGGGTTCCTTGTGGACTGATGAGTGTCCACATTTCAGCACTCAGGGCATGACTGTATACAACCTAAGACTATACATATATATTTTCATTTTCAATTGTACAAATATCCATAGAGGTGATGTTCCTAGATAAGTCATTTAACTGTAACTAGAGAAATAAATGTGATGGCCCTAGAAAGTAGAATTTTTACTTTCATTACAGCCATGTCTTTATTATACAGTCTCCATTTCTGTGTAATATTTGGATATCATGTATCAAATACATCAGGACTTTGTTTATTTTGGCTAACTTTATACAATTGCTGAACATAGCTTTCTGAAATAGAAATTATATTAGAAACCCAGTATGCCTACAGCAGTAGTAGCCTAATCCCTAGATTCTAGACTCTAATAAATTTATAGTAGTCTTTAAGAAGTTTCCTTTAAAGCAACAAATAGATTATTAAGGCAAATTTAGATAATATCCCAAGTTAGCAATAAAATACAACCGTGTGACATTATAGATTATGTCCAGATACTAACTGCTTTGACCATAATATCCCAATGACAATAAACAATGATCCTTGCTTTAAAAATTATTAAATGGTACTTATTTTTATGTATAAGAACTGTCATGATCCCAGTGATTGGAGTTGATTTTCAAGGTGGATAGCCATAGAGTTAGGCAAAATTATTTTGATTTGGCAAACTAAAGATAAAAATTTTGCAAATTGCTCAAAATAATAATCTTACATTTTACTTTTATAACTTCTGAAACAGCACTCCATTATCCAGAAATCACATTCTAGACAGCCAATAATTTTGTTATCAGTGAACCTTAACTAAACGTGAAAAAGGCAATCCTGAAGTTTTATGTACATAGTTTATTTTTAAAATGTTTGAGTTGTCATATATTATGTATGTGTATATATATACACACACATATATACATACAGCTCTGTGTATAATATGTAAAGTTCTCCCAAAATACATGACTATAAAACTGAATGTGTTCATTCATGTAATTTTAACTAGCAGTCTAAAATTTTAAATTATTCCCATTTCTTAAACATTCTGAAAATTTTTTTAGTTTATTTTAAAAGGCTCTGGTTCCACCTTGAAGTTGATAATCTTTCTGGAAAAATATATGAGAAGTTAAGCTCAGAAAGTGGTCATTATCATAATTTAGTTTTCTTAAGGAAAAAGGGGAGGGTTCTGGATGGAAACCTCTTGGGAAATTCTAAAACTTTGGAATGATCTGTAATATGATTTGGGCTGAGATTATAGTACCTGCCTTTGTCTCATTTCAAGAGGTTTGCTGTGAGAATTCCTGTAATAACATCTGTTAATGTATCTGGAGTTCTGGGAGAAATTCTTTCTTTTAAATAATGGAATTATGGTATATAATACAAATGAATACTCACAAAATTTAAGAATACATTTGAATAATTCAGCATCTGTCAGTTTTTATGCAGGTATATACCTGAGGAAGATGACAGTTCTGTAATTTTTTAAGGTAAGGTTATTTTTAAATTGCATTTTTGTTCTAGCCTTTTGCAATTTATAGTCTTTTAAAAATATTTTTCATAATTCATGATGCTACCTTCTGTGTCCTTGAAATGTTTTTTGAAAAATACACGGATTCAAATATGTATCATGAGTCCTTAATATACTAAATGGTGAAAGAATGATATTTCTAAAGTAAGAAGCATGGTTGGTTCACACCACACTGCAGTACTTAAAAACGAAAAAGTATTCTCTAGTGATAAAATTAAAGACAGGGTACTGGCCAAGATCCTAATTCTGACGTCTGTGTGATCTTTGATGAAATTTATATTTCCCTTTATCATTACTATTGTTAAGTGAGGCTAAGTTAATACTTGTCTTCACCTTAAATTATAGTTGATCATTTGTAACTGTGATGTGGCAAATGCTGAACTGAAAAATCCTTATTGAATTACTTTATCTGTTCTCTTTTATTTTAAAGTGTACCTTTTTCTGAAGTAATGTAGTGAATGGTGAATACCACTCAGGAATTCTTCCAGTTTTAAAATAACCCCAAAGATACAGTTTCAGCCGGAAGAGGGTGTGTTCTGCTCTCTTAGTCCTAATCAGAAAGTCCCTTTTAGCTTATGATCCCATATGAAAGCCAAACCCTTAGCAAATCTGTGCTGCCAACCAGGTCACTCACAAATCAAACAAAATGTAAGCAAGCAATCCAGTACTCAGTTACACCAGAAGACTCTGAGCTTTGCCCCGAAAAACTGTCCTACTTTATTATCCTTATGCCTGAAATCACTGCAGCCCTATTTTATTTTAAGCCATACCATTAATTTAAAAAGGCCTCTATTTCTTTATAGAAACATTCACAGTAAGGTCTAGTTAGTGAACCTCAAAATCCAGATATTAATCCACCTTATTACTTTCTAATTGCTTCTCAGTCATTGGCTAATAAGGGAGTGGTGTGATAAATTTGACTTATCGTCACATACAGAAGTTGGTCAGAAGGGATAGTTCTCTTCCTTTCTTTTTTCCCCTCCTGGCTCTTACTGTTTTCTACTCTCCAGTGTAAATGGAATGAACACATCTATTGTTAAGGTAAATGCCCCTTATAAAATCAGAAGATTGAGTGATTTACTGCTTGTAAAACAACTGTTTTTGAATCCCATGAAATAGGTGGTATTGCTAACACAGAACAGAAGCCAAAAAGGTCTTAAAATTAGATGTCTTTATTGTACTTCAGCCAACAGCAAGCCAGGAGTAGGAACATGTATAAATATGACAGGCCATATATGAAATTTGGCTCTCCTCCTATCAAAGTGTCCTGGGAGCTTGGAGGAAGGCTTAAACAGGAAACAAGTATACTCATCTGATGTATGTAGAAACTCATCAGCTGTAAATTACCAATGTTAAGCCAGAAGTCATTACCAGTTATGTGTGGTTTTCATCTTACCCTTGAATAGGAGAGGTGGACAGTAATGTAAGTAACATTGCTTTAAAGACATGAAGCTTGTCCTGGTAAACATGGTCCAAATGAGAAATGCCTCCATCGTTTCAGGTAGAATCAGGTTTCAGCCATAAGCTTAGCTACATCTGTATTTGAAATACAATATAAATATTTCTTATGCCTCTATATCCTCTTTTAAAAAGAACTGCTGACTGGCTCCTGTTTCTCCAGTAACATTGATTTTTTTTTTTTTTAAGAGGTAGAATCTTGGACTGTGTTGTAAAAGAATGAGCACTAGCTTTCAGTAAAAAGTGCAATTTCTCCATGTTATGTTGAGCTCTGTTAGAGCCTATGATGAGTATTTGAGGTGAAACCTTGCTGTGGGAATTTTTTATTCCTCCTCCACCCCCACCCCCACCCCCACCAGTTCATTTTGGTAAATCTTTTCTTTGAACACAGATGCATGCTTTTTTTAACCTCTAGTCTTTGAAGTGACTGTAGAAGAGAACTTAAAAAAAAAAAAAAAAAAAAGGAGGGCAGAATGCTTGTTAGCAATCTGAAAATCAAAGCCAAACAAGCTGCTTAAGTTTTTGATTAAGAAGTTTAAAAATAAAAACTAATTGCTACTGCTTTCCAGGTAATTGTATTACTGGTTTCTGTATAAAAGAAACATTATTGCTGTTGTTGTATAAATAAAATTTTCCTGCAATTCAATTAAGTATTGATTTTTCAGAAACTGACCCTATAAACCTTTTCACATAATTCCATGTGCTGTCCAAAACAAAAATAATTGAAATGTCTAATCCACGAGATTACATATTCCTGGTAAGATATTTTTATATATATAAAGAAATAAATACTCTTAGAAAAATGTATTTCATTTATAGGTAGAACTAAGGTTTAGAGATAATGGAGAATATCTGATTAGCTTTGGTAATATTTTTTTAATTTTACTGTTAGCTTTTTTTAACTTTTAGGTTTGGGGATACATGTGAAGGTTTTGTTACATAGGTGAACATGTCATAGAGGTTTATTGTACAAATTATTTCATCATCCAGGTACTGAGCCCAAAAGTTAATCTTTTCTCCTCCTCTCCCTCCTCCCACCCTCCCCACTCAAATAGACCCACTTAGAAGTGAGAACATGCAGTATTTGGTTTTCTGTTTTTGCATTAGTTTGCTAAGGATAATGGCCTCCAGCTCCATCCACTTTCCTGCAAAAAACATCCCATTTTTAATGGCTGCATAGTATTTCATGGTGTATATATATTACATTTTCTTTATCCAGTCCATCATTGACAGGCATTTAGGTTGATTCAGTGTCTTTGCTATTGTGAATAGTGCTGCAGTGGACATTTGCATGCATGTCTTTATGGTAGAATGATTTCTATTCCTCTGGGTATATACCCAGTAATGGGATTGTGGGTCAAATGGTAGTTCTGCTTTTAGCTCTTTGATGAATCTCATACTGCTTTCCATAGTGGTTGAACTAATATGCACTCCCACCAACAAGGTATGAGTGTTCCCTTTTCTCTGCAACCTTACCAGCATCTGATAGTTTTTGACTTTTTAATAGCCATTCTGACTGATGTGAGATGGTATCTCATTGTGGTTTTGATTTGCATTTCTCTAATGATCAGTGATATTGAGCTATTCTACATATGCTTGTTGGCCACCCACATGTCTTTTGAGAAGTGTCTGTTCATGTCCTTTGCCCACTTCTTTTTAATGAAGGGAGCTTGCTTTTCTCTTGTAAATTTAAGTTCCTTATAGATGCTGAGTATTAGACCTTTGTCAGATGCATAGTCTGCAAATATTTTCTCCCATTCTGTAGGCTCTTTACTCTGTTCATAGTTTCTTTTGCTGTGGAGAAGCTCTTAATTAGATCCCACTTGTCAATTTTTCCTTTTGTTGCAGTTGGTTTTGGTGTCAGTGAATAGTGACACTTTTAAAAAAAGATTTAGTGAGGAAGATGGAGATATCTAGTTAGAAGAAACCTTTGGAGGCCCAATTCCATCTCACTGTAAGCACACTAGCCCACGCCCACATCTGTACAGGTGTATGCCAAGATGCCTGGCAGTAACCGGAGGCTGGGAACAACTGTAGTAGCATAAAGCTACCTTCTTTTTAATAGCTAGTTCTTAAAACAATCCAGCATGTCAACTGGCTGGTTTTGGAGACGTTGTGCAACAGCGAGATCCCCGAGTTTACTGTGTGACATAACCCAGACTTTCGGTGCTTGCTGGGATGGTATCTTTCAATCTTAAGTCTTTCATTTTCATCTGGTTTTTGATTTGGAGGATAAGACATACAGAATTCTAGCATGAACAGAAAGATAAAAAATCTTCTCTGCCTCTTCTCCCAACCTCTAAGTCGCTCTCTCCCTAAAGGAGCCACCATTAGATTACATGTGAACTCTTTAAATGAAAATCTCCGTGCATATTGATAACATGTTTTACATGTTTACATCCATCGTTTTACATAAGTAAATTCATATTACATCTTCTGTTTGCAGTTTATTTGTACTTAGAAAACCGGACAAAAAGGTAGGTAGAGTGCCACCCTTTTAGCACAACTGCTTTCACTTTTGCATATTCCTTTCCAGTTTGTATATAAGACATTTATGAATAGCAGTTGCCACTCTATGCCACTTTATAGCCTCTATAAGTATTTCCATGACGAGTCTTATTTTTAGTAGTGGTGATGAAAGGGTTATTTGCTTCATTCTTCATTCATTCTTTAATGAATGTTAACATTCATTAAAATCTGAAGGGAAGAAAGGGAATAAGAGGGTGATGTTGCAAGGAAAAAAGAATAGGTGCTGCATAACATGTTTCCAACAACTGCTACCCCTCATCCCCAGAGGCTCAGGTCCTGTCCATGGAATCAGGGACACAGGGAGCCAGTCCAAGTTGTTTATAGAAGGACATCAAAACAAGCAGAATCAAAAGCAAAATAGACATAGTTCAAAGTTTCCTTTAATAGAATACCCAGAATACATAGGAAGTCAACATGTGCCAGACATAGAATTAGTAAGCTCACCAAAGCATGGCAAGGTCAAATAAACGCATATAGCTAGGGTCCCAGGCAGGGGTGCATTGCTATTAGATTTTTAAAGTATGATTTTGGTTAGCAGAGGAATATACTCAACATTTACAATTCATTTTCCATCAAGTAACATACAGCACATCTAAAACGTAGCCTCTTGTGTGCAGAGAAATTGCCTTCCCCCAGCATTCACAATATAAAAAGAACTTCTGCTTAAAGAGTCAACTCTTTCTGTGTAACAAAAAGAAAGAGAAAAGTGGAATGCAAGTGACAGATGGATGTATTATTGTGCAGAAAGTCAGTCTGAATGAATGCTAAGAATTCTCAGCCCTCCCAACTTTTTAGGTGCCGGAACCTAACTCAGATGCTGGGTCACCAGCACAGGAGGGCCTCTGATAAGAAAAATTGTTTAAAGAGTACCTGGTGGCTAAAAATGAGGTCATTCATAATGCAAAATGTCACCACTTCTTAAACTGTTTTGTAAATTTGTTTCATTGGTCAACTTTTAACACTCATCTGACCTTTAACAATTCTGAAAAATACTCAGCTTTGGCCAATAACATGTACTTACAGTTCATATGTGACATCATGAATGTTCTCTGCCTAAAGCACAGAGTCCATTCAGGGTTATACAAAGAAGCAGTGGGAAGATTTCAGAGTCCTTCAGAATGACGGCTTTCACAGATGACTTCAGTCTCTCCAGGGTAATGTCAGCTGAGGCAAACAAGCGCTGCACAATCCCAAACCTTTCTGTATCTTTCAGGGGAGCCAAAGTTGGGTCTTCAAGATCAGATACTCCATCATCAGACAAAGCACGAAGCTGAAATAACAAATTCACTTTAAAAATGTTCTTAAAAATCTACATTGTTGGACAGTAATGCACTTCTAAGTAATTCTGGTGGCGGGGGGGGGGGGGGGGGCGGAAATCTTTATCTTTTTTGTTGTTATTGAGACAGTCTCACTCTGTCGCCCAGGCTGGAGTGCAGTGCTGCAATCTTGGATCACTGCAACCTCTACCTCCCAGGTTCAAGCGATTCTCTTGCCTTAGCCTCTCAAGTGGCTGGGACTATCGGTTCATGCCACCACACCTAGCTAATTTTTCTGTTTTTAGTAGAGACAGGGTTTCACAATATTGGCCAGGCTGGTCTCAAACTCCGTACCTCGTGATAAACCCGCCTCAGACTCCCAAAGTGCTGAGATTACAGGTGTAAGCCATCATGCCTGGCCAACTATGTCATTTTTTAAATTACCCAAATAGAACAGGAAAACCCTTGAGGTGTATCACAATCTATTTGATCCAGGCCAGGACCTCAGGCTGGATTCTATCCAATTTGCCTAGTGTCCGCTGTCTGAATCCCTACTCTCTGAACTCTTTCTACTAGTCCCATTAAGTCCAGCACATAAGAAAGGTCAGACTGTATCTTGCTCATATAAAATAGTATGTCTAGTTTTTATTTTAATGATGGTATTAGAATTTCTCATATATTTGCATGAATTCCTCAAAGGTAGGTACCATAGTTTAATTATGCTTCCTGCCTCAAGAACCTTATCCCTTGCTATTCCCTTCTTCCAAATTTCGGTATTAATCTCCCCTTCTCGTCACACAGTTGTCAGCTGAAATGCCACATATGGAGGGCGTTTCCCAAACCCTTTCCATCGATCTACTCCCAGCCCCAGAACTCAGCCTTACGTTACTCCATCATGTGGCATCCACAAACTTCCTAAATCTTAAGTAATGTGCTTGATAGTATTTAGTCCACTTTCCTTATTAAAACCCTAAGCTGCTCCTGAGACCAGGGACTTTGTCTGTCATGCTTGCCACTTGCCTTGCCTACAACGCAGACACTCACTGTGTTCTTCACAGAGGTCACTTTAGATACTGCTCTAGTTCTACCTGCTCAACACATACTTGAAATATTTGATTTGCTTTTAGGGTCTCGATCTGTGCCTGTAATACTTTTTCAAAAATCTTAAGCAATTACAAATAACGCCAGTAGATTTCATTTTGAAACAGGCACTTAAGATCTGATTAATATAGGAGTAAAATTTTAAATTAAAAATGAAATAAACCTAGAAAGTATGCCTGAATTTTAAGAAATCTGACGGGAATCCAAAAGAAAAAATTCCAGAAATGTCCTGAGCAGTGGTGACTATCCTCAAAGTCATGCAGCTTGTCCAGGTGACTGAAGGGTAGCACTCACTGGAATGTAAAAGTACTTGTGTGTTTATTACCAAAATCAGCCTCATGAACCCTGTAGATTCACCAAATACAACTCATAGTGTTACCATTAGGCTCATACTGCAAACGATTGATTGTGCTTTAGAGAGTAGATTAGACCTGCTCTTTAAGCATCACACCCCGGTGATTTAATGAGGAGCCCCACTAGCGCAGGCTGGAGACCGTCAGCAGCCTGGCAAGCTCCCTGTCCTTACCAGCAGGTGAGAGCTACACAGCATCCAGCTTCCTTCTCTAAATCTCCACCAGCCCCTTTGCCCATAGGTATTTCTAGGTATAAAGGGGAGTGACCCAAAGGCTGGTGGAGTGAAGCTAACATTCTCTCTTGATTCTAACACCCTTTCACCAGTTCCTGGAAATGTGTTAGTGTATCTGGCACTGTACTCCGAAAAGCCCTTCAGAAAGCCTCTCAAAGTTATTCTGGCTGCTAGACAAGAAAAGACAGGGCTGCAGATGGATTTTGTGGCCTGTTTTAAGTAAATCCCTTAAAGAAACATGATGCTAAAATTCCTTCAGGAGTCAGCTGCCTCCATTTCTTAAATACAGCTATTGCAAATCTGAGGGGAGATATGTGAAGACCCCCCAGGAAGGTCTTTACAGAAAAAGGAGGTCTCTGACTGTGTTGAGCAGATGCCAAAAGGCTAACAAGTGCCTGTGGTGGGGTTTTGTGCAGAAGCAGAATACCTTCCATTCTGAACTCCACATGTGTTCTAGCTACTGCTCTTAGAACACCAACAGAGCAGAACTTAGGGGTAACACAAAGGTCCTAGAGCTCATCTGCAAGGAGGAAGACAGCTAAGTGAGTTTGTCGGAGAAGGGGTTAGATAACATGGGCTTGGCAGGATTTTCTTCTTTCTCTGCTTCAGCTGCAGTTGGTGAGTCTGTAAATACTTGGGAAGGGACTAACTTAGTAAATGCTGAGCACTCAGTCGCTGCAAGAGGAGCTAAGATCTGAAAGCAGAGCTGCTGTTTTGCTCAGCATTGCATACAATTAGAATAATAATAAGTATTGTTTCCATAACCAGACTGTGCCACCAGCCTTTACCCTCAGCTGTCCCAGGACACATGCTGGCACATTTTCAAGTCCCATTTTTGCAGTCAGTGTATAAGAATGCAGGTTCCTCTGGGCCTGTGGAATCTTTTAGTTGTGAGTGATACCTGATCTGCTCCTTGGAATGACGCCATGCTGCAGTCTTCTAATGTCTTTGCTATGCATAAAGGCACCAACCACATTGCACAGCGTTCCCAGAGTAGATGTATACCTAATGTCAGGGTCCCATCTAGGCAGTCTTCTATCCCAATACCTGCTTCCCAAATCTGAGAATAGAGCTCTAAGAGAGCTTGGGCCTTGGACTTTAGTAATTAGGCCTTAAAATAATCAGACCATGTGTGTTCAGCTCCTCTGCCCCAGGCTGAGCAGCACCTGCAAAAGCTACACAAAACTGGCTGCCCCATCAGGGTGGTTTCAGGTCAACCTATTGGTGGTTCTTTATACTAATGGACCAATCTATAATTTAAAAAGGAAAAGCTTAACCTTGATTCTCAAGGGCTAAGCTCATCATTACCTGACTCTTGCTCTTACAATGACATTTCCAGAGGGCACCAAGCTAATGATATTCCTAAAAGAGGATGAAAGAAGCTGTGTCTCCCTGGGACAAATCAGTTTTGGATACCTTCCTGGTGAATCTGCTGCAGAGCTGAATCAAGCCAGTCTCAGCACAGAACTGCCACTGCAAATAACATGGTGTCAGGTCCCTTTCTTGCAATGTAACACCAAGCCTTGGCCAAAATTATCTCCAAACAATGGGGAAAGTATAAGATTTAGAGTCTGAAGACAAGGATGGAGTCCTGGCCCTGCTAAAAGTTGTTTGGACAAATCATGTCCCTCTGGGTCTCGGTCTTCCCATGGGATGGGATGTTAATAAACAGTACTTATTTAATCTACCTTGAAGAGCTGTTGTGGATGAGAAGTCTTAGCGGTGTTTTATCAGCTGGTGGATGTCTTCCCCCCTCATGATTTCCCCCTTCCTCTCCATTCTAAGGTCCCATCTGGGAGGTTACTTACCAAGTGGCACAGTGTGGGAATGATTTGGAGTTTGTAGCACGTGCCCAACAGAGCTGCTGCATTATCTGGCATTTCTGCAAGAGACAAAAGTCACAGTCACCGTCCATAAAAACAAGTTCATTGGAACAGAGCCAGCCTCTGATGGCACCTAACTTATATTTCAATATTTTCCCGCCAGCCAGGCAGGGGAGGTACTCAGCAGTTGAGTGACTGAGTGAATGGTGCTAAATGGGCAGAAAAGACCTTGGAGAAAACAGATGTAGGTAACCAGCTGCCAGCTCTGCATTCCACTAGAGGATACTCCTTGATATTCAAGTTACCAAATGGAAAGAAATGCACAGACTCCGGGGGAAAAGAATCAGCGTGAAGTAGACCCTGCAATCTGGTGACAGAAGAGTGATGTTTGAGCCCCTCCACACATTCAGGCTACAGCCTTAGGTATACCTCTCTGAGCCTCAGTTTCCTCATTTACCATAGTTTTCTTTTTTGCATATATCAGAATACTATGTAAACTAAAAAGGGCTCTACCCATGTCACAAATCATTTTGGGGAGGAAAATGCAGTGTAGCTTGATCAATGCAGTGTGGCCTGAGGCCAAGAGCAGCAACAGCAGAGACGTTGGAGCAGAGCTGTGCCAGGCCAGGGGCTGCACCAGAAGGGCCCTTGCCAAGCCCCGGGGAAAGGAAAGCCAGGTCAGTGTTGTTCAAAGTGGATATTAAACACCACCCAGGGAAAAACAGATACAGTTCCTAAAAGGACCACAATCCCTTGAGGGTACAACCTTTGAGCTAAAAAGGCAAAAATGAATGAGTCACCTAGTGAATCAAGTAGCCGAGGGACTGCTGAGGAACTGAGTTGTTCCTGCCATGGTTTAGCAGCCTTATTTGTGAAAGGTAGTGTGTTGCTGAGGTGTGACCCAGAGAATGCAACAGAGGACTGCTCATTCCCAAGAGAGGGTGTAGGGTGTTAAGGGGGTGGGGTAGCACACAGTGGGATCATCCTGCTGGAGAACCTGATGTGATATTCAAGTGTATGTGCATTCATCTGAAGAGAAGATCTACAGCTTCTCAAGTAGGCTCTTACCCGAAGCAGGAAGACTAAGAAAGTATAAGTGGCCTAGCATATCCAGCTGAGCCCCTGTCCACAGCTATCTCATTTGCCACTGCTGCCCTGCCTTCACTTTCCAGGATGGCTCCTGGGTGCCAGGAAACCATCATCCTCATCCCTTATTCTTGGAAATACCCGAGTCCCATATTACTCATTTAGCCACTATCTTGAGCATGGTACCCTAGCTGCCAGGGGCACAGGAATGAAAGGACAGCATCTAAGTTACTGAGCTTACCCACTAATTTTACTACTTGACTGATTTCCTGGAGGACCAGGACTTGATATTTTCTCCTACCTCAGTACCTAGCAGTGCTTACAATATGGTATAAGCTTGTTAAATGTTTCCTGAACTGAAATGAATTATTTTGATTCCTCTTCCACATACCAATTCTATTTTACTAATGGGATCCAAGGAGTTCGGAGCTTGGGACTTGCTTAAGGTTACAAAGTGGTGGAGGAAGTGTCCCAGGAGTCAGGTCACATGTGGGACTGAAATGCTGAAAACAGCTATTAGGAAACCAAAAACTAGTACGAAGACCTAAGAAGACCCCATTTTCTATTCCAAGCACTTTCCCCAGATTCTAAGAGAAGATTATACCATCTAAGAGGAAATAAAATCAACTCAGAAGGGCTGAGGATTAGCAAAAGCACAAATGGAAGGGCTTTACGCCAACGTGGCCTCCGCTGGGACTGATCTACAAATGAGATCACAGTTAGAAAAATAAAAAGGTGGGATTGGTTGAGAACTTTAGGTGCAGCTGGCAGTCTCAAGATTTCACTACTTCTGAGCTTCCAATTCAGACACAGCAAGTCAGTCTTACATTATGTGTCAACTGTTGAGTGGCCTGCTGCCTGTGTGCAAGCTTGGAGAGATTTTTTTCTTTTTTTCAGAGACAGGGTTTTACTCTGTCATCCAAGCTGGACTGCAGTGGCATGATCAAAGTTCACTGCAGCCTTGAATTCCTGAGTTCAAACGATTCTCCACAGCCTCTCAAGTAGCTGGGACTACAGATAAACACCACCATGCCTAGCTAATTTATTTTTTATACAGATGAGGTCTTGCAAGGTTGCCTAGGCTGGTCTTGAACTCCTGGACTCAAGTGATTGTCCCACCTCAGCCTCCCAAAGCACTAGGATCACAGATGTAGCCCACCACACCCAGCCAGTTGCAGAGAATATGATGCTGTGTCTAGGCTCAGGGAGAAGACGACCATGGTGCATTCATGATGCTGGCCCTGTGTTACCTATTTGATATCACTGATCCAACCTACTGACAGAAATGCTGTAGTAAGTAATGGGGTGTATGAGGAAAAGGCATCTCACAAGCTGGAGAACTCCGGCCTGTGTATTAGCTCCTGACAGAATGCCTATACTGAAAGACTCTCAGACCCAGCTGTTAACACTGGGAAAAAGTTTCTAGTGGAGTTCCACAAGGCTCTATCTTATGTCCTGTTCCAGCTTACTAGTCAAAACTTTTATCCATGAGTTGGAACAAGACAGCATATATTTATCAGCACATAGAGTTGGGAGAGGCATTTTCTCAGGTAATTGTTTAAACACTAAAGCTTACTGGGTCTGTTTCTGTGTGATGCTGGGGAGGAACCCTGAATGTATCAGAAACTAAGTGTCCTGACTAGTATCACCACACAGGGAAGCTGTGAGGACTGGTTTGCCACAGCTGGCTTTTCTGAGAGGCAACAGGAAGCCCAGCTTCCTCGTGAAGGATGCCCATCTCCTGACAGGCACTCTGGCATGGTGAGTTCTGGATGGGAGTGGTACAGAGGTGGCAGAGACTGTTCCACAGTAACTGGATAGCCACTCCCCTGGGAGGCCATTTCAGGACCAGTGAAGAAGCTGTGGAGCTGGGCCCAGCCACAGCTCTGCCTCCCAGCCTTGTACCTTGGATGGCTGGATACTCTCTGCGGCCCCCTTGCCCCAGACAGGGGCTTGTGGGGTGGGGAATAACAAGTTTGCAAAGAAGATGATCAGAAGGACTGAAACGCTGGGGTAGACCAGTTGCCAAATGAAAGTCGCTGCCACTCAGCTCTGCCAGGGCTCCCATGTGAACCACAGACTGTCAGGGAGACGCTTGCTTTTGTTGGCAATGAAGCACCTGCTGTGGCCATCCAGGAGAGTGGGAAGCTTGTGCTGGACAGAAAGGCCTCCTTCATTCTCGAGTCTGTGGTTTCCCATCAACCTTCCACCTCTTACCATCCCTGTACCAAAAGGGAGGGACCTGTATGTACCAAATCCTCCACAGTTACCATCCGCATGTCCACAGAAGCATAGACAGTAGGCAAAGCAATTTTTTTTTTTTTTTTTTTTTTTTGAGACAGAGTTTTTGCTCTTGTTACCCAGACTGGAGTGCAATGGCGCAATCTCGGCTCACCGCAACCTCCGCCTCCTGGATTCAAGCAATTCTCCTGCCTCAGCCTCCTGAGCAGCTGGGATTACAGGCACGCGCCATCATGCCCAGATAATTTTTGTATTTTTAGTAGAGATGGGATTACAGGCATGAGCCACTGCACCTGGCTGGCAAAGCAATTTTAAAGTGGCAGCAGCCATTTCCTTTTCTTCTTTTCTCCTTACCTGCAAGGGCACTGACCAAGAAGTAGGCCGTCGTAAAGAGCCGCTTGCTGCCCGCATCCTCAGGGCCTGGACGCTCACCCTGTAAGCTGCACCCCACCAGCTGCAGGAAGGCCATGACGTCCTGCTGCTGCCGGGGCATCAGCTCCCCAAGCACCACCAGTGGGGGCGAGAGGCCGCTGACCACGTCATCACACTGTAGGGCAGGGAGAAGAAGGGGGATGGTCAAGACACAGCTGGAGCCAAGCGCCACAGCCTGGGCCTCACCTCACCACACACACAAGCCCCGGCCCTTGCCTGTCCCTTAAGGAAAGCACTACACACAGCTCTTCTCTACATTCAGAAATTGCTAATCCATGGGACTACATTTCACTGAAGGGACAGTAAGCTGAACCTGGCCCATGAGGGTGGGGGACATACTTGCTGGAACTGTGGCATAGAACCTTCCAGGGCAGGGCAGGGTCTGTTGGGTAGTGCCAGGGACCAGAAACAACACGTGGTTATACACAACTGGGGAGGGTGATGTACAAGCATCGTCCCGTCTTGGTTCTCAAGTGTTAAACTTGGTGCTCCAGCCCCCAGCCATAGTTCCCACCGGGCACTGGGCAGCTGTGTCTGCCCCACAGGGCCCACTATGGAGTGAAATGATCCTGCTGGAGAGCCAGGTTGGACCACCCTGCCGATGCTGCACCACCCACAGCCTTGGTATCCAGATCCAGTCATCTGACAGCCTGACCCCGCCCCCACTCCCATCCGGGCAGCTTGCTTCTCCAGCATCTAACAGGGCAGCTGAGGCTCTCTCCACAGGGTGCTAGCCTGACATTTTCCTCTTGGAAGGAGTTATTTTCAGAAGTAGAAGTCAATGGGCTTTTCGAAACACTGTGTTCTCCCTGGGGCTGAGCTTCCCACCCTCTAGAATGCAAATGTCCTGGGCTGTGGGACTATTTCAGTAACAGGTTCCATCACTGATACCCAGGCTCTTTCAGCACAATCTAATTTCAAGAGGGAAAAATAATATAAACACTTCCCTGGAAACCATGAAGCATTGAATCAGTTATTCAAACTCCCTGCATGATATAATATAAAAACAAAAGAACAGAAAACAAAACTATAGTCAAAATCAGATTTATAAAGCCTCAGCCTTCAGGGAAAGAGGACACAGAATCTGGGTGGCGGGAGGGTTGGCAGCTTATGTGGCTCTCACCGTTTTCACAACTAAGAGCTAAGGAACTTGACCTCCCCAGGAAATCCTTCTGCTGCAAAACAGAACAATGCAAAGCCTATTTATTTCTCTTCTGAATGGAACAGGTTGACTTGCTAGATTCTGCCACACAGCCCCCTTGCAGTCTGCGTAGTGGCCCCCCAACACATATGTCACCTGGAACCCAGGAATGTGACCTTCGTCTTTGCATATGTAATTAAGGAAATCAAAATGAGACCATCCTAGATCCAGCTGCGCCCTAAACCCAATGATGGTCTCTTCATAAGAGACAGTAAAAGAAGAGACGCAGAGACACACAGTGGAAGCCCGTGTGGAGACAGCAGAGACTGGAGTGCTGCTGCCACAAGCCAAGGAACACGAGAAGCTGTCGGCAGCTGGAGGAGACAAGGCAGAATTCTCTCCTAGATCCTCTGCAGGGAGCGTGGCCCTGCAGGCACCTAGATTTTGGATTTCTGGCCTCCAAAACTATGACAAAATAAATTTTGGGGTTTTTAAGCCCTCAGGTTTGTGGTGATTTGTTGAGGCCACCCTAGGGAACTAACACTTCCCTCTGCCCCTCATGCCACCTACTCGTCTACACTTAGAAAACCCAGGACCCAAGAGTCAGAAAGAAAAGAGTCAGCTGTAGAGTGAAAAGGAGGTGGGGAAACCTTTAACACAATTCCATCCTGCCTCAAAGCCTTGCCCCAGGAGGTCTAGCCTCTCTCCCGTTCCAGAAAGCCCAGAAAACACTGACTGCCTTGAGAAGTCTCAGGTCTCACCACTGGTTCCAGGACCATGAGTAGTTCATTATCAAACAGGACCGCCTGGAAGATGTCGCTCAAAGCTGTCTGTTGTGGCTCTGGCAGCTCCACAAAGGGATGGAAATTCCTCTCCAGAAGCGGGGTCGCTGTGAAAACAAAGCACACCCAAGTCTCATGACCCGCGACGCGCATCTCACGACATCCCACCGCAACTCCTGCTTTTTATAGCTAATCGTCATCAGTTCTTTTATGGATATTCCCAGCTGCACAGTCAGTCATGGAACTCAGAAATAAACATCAAATTACACGCCACCCTGCATATTTTTCAGTAACCAAAGGATGGGGGGAAGAGAGAGACACACACACCCAGTTTTGGATTTCAAGCTTCACTCTTCTCTGATAACTCACTAAACATTAAGTCTAATCAATTATTTTCTGGAAAAGTTATTTAAATTCTTCTTTAGCATGATTTCTCGAAGTAAATTATCAAAGCTGAATTACTAAACATAGTACTTTTACGATGCTTTAGAGCGATATAAATTCCAAAATATATTATTTTTCATGTCCTTTCTTAGAGTACATTGCAGATTTTCTATCCTTTAATATTTAATGCCCATTTTTAAAGAGGCTAGCACCCAATCTTCAGGGCAAGCACAGCTATTCTACCTTTTTCATCCTTCGCTTCCTCATGAATCCTCAAGCTGAGCACTGAGGTCTCCGAGGCTGTTGTCTCTGCAGGATGCTTAAGGGCCTCTCCCCTTAGAATCTCCCCCCGCCCCCCCGCCGCCCCGTGTGTGTGTGTGTGTGTGTGTGTGTGTGTGTGTGTGTTACTCGGAAGCTTCCTGTAAATTAAGTCTAGAGAAGACTTTATTTTTAAAGATGTGATAAAGGTTTCCTATGCAGGGATGCACACTAATACAAGAATGTACCCCCCCATGAGGATGGAGAATTCCAACAAGCAGTTGCATAAAGCCCCACACAGGGGAACACAGAACATCAGGAACCAACATATTCCAAAACTGCTATACACACGACTGCCTTTGCCAGTCCCAGCCTAAGAAGCTGTCCTGGTCGGTCCAGTCTCTGAGGGTCCAAACACCAGGCAGCCCCCACCCTCCTCCTGCTGCCTGGCACACCCAGCTCCAACTGCATCCTGGCTGACCAGAATGGCCTATGTGAAGGGTGAGCCTGTGGGAGGAAAGAAGGATGCTGCAGCATGGGACGGCCTTTGGCTCCCAGGGGCTGCAGGGCCACTGCAGTTGTAACCCACAATGACATCATTTTAAGTGCCACCTGAAAATTGTACCCACTTACCCATGGCAAAAAAGCGAGGATAGGAAAGCCTTATGTTAAAATTAGGCCTTTGTTGTCATTTCTTCAAATACCGATATTTTTGCTACAAAACAAAAGCATCCCCTGGTTTGGGACCCATCAAAGCTCCACGGATGTCCATCCAAGCCAGAGCACTCTGTGCAGCTCCTAGCTCTCTGTGCAAAGCCCTCACCTATTTGTTTCCCCTCTTCCTTGCCCATCTTCTCCTACTATACACTGTACCCCCACACCCCACCCCCCCACAAAATAAACCAGCTTTTTAAAGCACAATATACTGTGAGGAGCAAAAGGAATTGCTACAGGCACATCCTGGGCATGGCCCCTCTTCCTCTTGGATGCCATGTGGATAAAGAGCCTCCAAGAGAGCATTTTGCAAGGCTGACAAAGCATTGCTTGTTTTGGCAATGAAGCCCAGAATATAACGAAACAGATAGAAAACTTGGGTTCTCCATCCTCGTGGCTGATGAGCTATTCTTAGTAGTCAACAGGGCTTCTGTGCTTACAATGAAAGAAAAATGCCAAGCCCCTGACTGCCTCACTCCTCAGTCTCTCACCCCTGCCCCATGGAGGCTCATTCTCCCCACCCTTCCTAAAATACAGCACCCACAACCTGGGGCTCCCTAAGATCCAACCGAGGTGAGTCCTGCTAAGTGGACTGGGCCTCGGCAGCATCACCTTTTCGCATAGGTTTTCCATGAGTCACTGAGGGGTCACTGGTGCTGAAGGCCACACCACCTCTTGGGATACAGGGCTCAGTTGGCCCTCAACTTCCTATGCATGCGCTGCTGGCAATACCTTGCTTTAAAACACTTAATGGCCCATCCTGGGAAGATATCCCATGCCCAGCATCTGGCATGTCTATGAATGCAAACTCTCGAAAGGCCAGGGGGTCCAGGTAGACAGAGTCAATTCTCCTCTTGTTCTCGAAGCCACTTTCCTTCCCTTGGAGAAGGCAGAATTCTGTAGTGCAGGAGAAAAGGACAAGTCAGGTTCAAGACAAGGTCAGCCCAGTCTTGATGGCACATCTTAGACCTAACTCAGAGTGAGGCAGGACACCCAGCCATCTTCTCCAGAAAATTTCATTCCTACACACATTATATTGCTTGACCAAAAGCCCAGCCACTTCCAACAAATAAAGAAATGGTTGTTATTACCTAAAGCTCTCTAATATGTATTCTCTGAGCAGACAAGATGCCAGAATCATTTTACCCCAATTTGAACAAACTGCTTCGTAAAACAACTAGGAAAATCCGAACACTGATACTTAAAACGCATTGCCGGTATGTTCAGGTGGCCAACTAGTTACGTGATTATATGTTTAAGGAATCTTAATGTCTCTATGTTAATATACAGAATAACACACAGCAATAAAAAATGAAATACTGACTGATGTGTGCAATTATATGAATGAATTTCACAAACGTGTGAAAAATGGCAGACACAAAAGAATATATTCTCTATGAATCTATTTCTGTAAAGGCAAAACTAGTAGTTTTTCAAAAGCCTTATCATTTCAAGCTACTGAAACATTTATAGATGAAACAATGTAACACCTAGGATTTGCTTCCAAATAATCTAGCAGGAGAGGAAGGAGATGGTGAAGTTATGGCTGAACATGAACTGCCCTAGTCACTGAAGCTGGATGGGCGGGTACATGGGAGCTCACTATATCATCATCTCTACTTCTGAACATCTGTGAAATGCCCATAATTAAAAGGTTTTTTGTTTTTGTTTTTCGAGACGGAGTCTCGCTCTATCATCTAGGCCGGAGTCCAGTGATACAATCTCGGCTCACTGCAACCTCCATTTTCAGGGTTCAAGCAATTCTCCTGTCTCGGCCTCCCAAGTAGCTGGGATTGCAGGCACGTGCTGCCACGCCTATTTTTTATATTTTTAGTAGAGACACGGTTTCACCATGTTGGCCAGACTGACCTCAACTGATCCACCTGCCTCAGCCTGCCAAAGTGCAGGCTGCCAAAAGTATTTTAAATAATAAAAAGGGCCAGGCATGGTGGCTCATGCCTGTAATGCCAACACTTTGAGAGGCTGAGGCAGGCAGATTGCTTGAGCTCAGGAGTTTGAGACCAGCAACATATCGAGATCCCGCCTCTATGAAGTATTTTAAAATGAGGTGGGCATGGTCACGAGTGCCTGTAATCCCAGCTACTCCAGAGGCTAAGGTAGGAGGATCCATTGAGCCCTGGAGGCAGAGGTTGCAGTGAGCCAAGATAGCACCACCGCACTCCATCCTGGGCAACAGAGCGAGACCCTGTCTCAAAAAAAAAAAAGTGGGGGGGGGGGGGCGGCAAAGAAAGAAATGTTTTCTCAAACACTTCCACATTTGAGAACCCAGCTAAGGTGTCTAAGATGTAGATAAAAATGAAAGTTGTTATGTCCTTGCTAAGTAGAAACAGTGGTGAGCTCAAGAATTAGGGTTCTCCTTATGCATCTATTCACTAACTTGTGTACATAAGCAAAGGCTATGGAATAAAAATGTGGCTGGGTCCAGTATGTGCTTCAATGTGGAAGGCATGATATTAGCACACATTTTCATTTGCTTGTGGGCCTTAATGGTGCTCATAAAGACAGAATGGAAAAGAAAAGAAGAATGGCTGTCTAGAGACAAAAGGAACAATCCCTGGCTCTACCCAGCTGGCCCACACTCACCAGCATTTAGGGTGCCCCTGCTCCTCCATACTTTGTGCTTAGCCACTGGGGTGCAGAAGTGTGAACCAGCATGTAGGTCATGACCTTGTTCCTTGAGGACAGGAGCCTTGACCATTCACACAGCCTCAAATCCTGCCAGAAGCCCCATGAGGTCCCCAAAATAATGTGGAACCAACTGGCATTTTTGGAATTCTCAGCACCGATCACGCTCTTGCCTTCACCCATGGACAGCTCCCTGAGGACACTACCAACTAAGTTCCTTCATTCCTTTCATCCATCCATCACCAGCCAGCCAGTAAACATGCAACGATGCCTTCCTATACGAGACCCCATGCTCACAGCCACAGATACAAAGAACTACAGCCAGGTGTTGATGATGAGCATGGTGAGAGTGGGGACGGGGCTTGACCAGGCTGAGGCCAGAGTGGCCAGTGGAGGGAGGGAAGGAAAAACATCTCTCCTTCTGCTTATCCTAGGTTCATGGCTGAAGCCCCTATCACAACAGACAGATTAACAAGAGAAAAAGCATGTGGGTTTACTGAATAACAGTTTTACATGACATGGAAGCCTTCATAAGAAAATGAACATGTGAAAAAAATAGTTAAACCTGAGTACTTTTATGCTAAGTTTGAGGAACAGTGCTGGAGAAATATGGCAGGATAGAGCATATGATGGAATGGCCATTCATCCAGGAACTCAGCAAGGCCTGTCTTTTCGCTTCTCTGTGTCCTGTGCCGGGAGAGAAGACTGCTCCTTTCCTCCAGGTGGAGGGAGGGCACCTCTCCCCTGAGGGTCTGTAACTGCGTCAGGGGAAAACTGGAAGATCCTTTCGAGGTTGTATGACCTGCTACACAGAGGAGTGTGATGGAAAGGTCACAGTGACCTTCCTGCTTCTGTCATCTTTTTAAATACCTTCACTTTAAAATATCTCAGGGTTGCTTGCATGTCCCGAACCCCATTACAGGGAATGAGAACCAGAAAAGGCTTCTCAGCTGAAGCAGCATCTAAGCAGCCATCTGATGGTAGCACAGGAGTGAAAGAGGCAGGACGACGCCCAGAGAGAGGTGAAGCAGGCCTGGGGGTGAGACGGGGCGTGGCATGCCCCAGACCTCAGTGAGATCATGGGGCAAGTGGCGCTGGTGAGCAGAGGGAAGGCGGGAGACCCATGCCGGGGCTGGCCCATGAGGTGTGACACGGTGCAAACTGCAGTCTGGGGACATAGAAGGGTATCTGAGTGGGTGAGTGAAGTGATCAGATTTTAATTTTAAAACAATCCCAGTAGTTACACTGCTAGGATGGAACAGACAGGAAAGAATCAGAGTAGCCAGTTACGAGTCTATGGCAGAGCTGGGCGCAGCAGCACACCCCTGTAGTCCCAGTTGCCTGGGAGGCCAAGGCAGGAGGATTGCTTCAGCCCAGAGATGAAGGTTGCAGTGAGCTATGATTGCACCACTGCACTCCAGCCTAGGTCACAAAGTGAGGTCCTGTCTTTAAGGAAAGCGAGGTGGGGAAGCAGGGAGATGGTGTTAGGGCCAGTGGGGAGATGTGCAGATTCAGGTGCAGCATGGGAAACATGGATTCACATCCACAAGGAATCCAACCGGAAGTTGGTGCTGAAGGACGCTAGCAAAGGCCAAGCTGTCTGAAAGGGCAAGGGTCAAGAGGATGGCAGGGTGCTTCCGAATGGCCCTCAGTGTCTCCTGAGAGGGGAGCTGTGGGTGAAGAAAGGGGTCTCACTGCAGCTGGCATGGCTGAAGCACCCGGCCAGGATGCAGATGGAGTCTGCCTCCCTTCAAGGTTTCAAAGGACGACCAGGATCCCTGTCAAATGCAATCCCACCAGCAAGGTAGGGAGAGAGGGCAGGCACGTCTTCTCAAGGGCCCGCCCAGCCACTGCAGGTTTATGTCTATGGGGCTGTATCAAAACGTTCCATAGCAATAGCAACAGAAAACAGATGGGCAAAAAAAAAGAAAAGAAATAGCAGAACTGGTTTAAAACCAGGCAGTGAGTCACCTGGAACCACGGCCTGACCACCAAACCACGGCAGGAAGGAGCCACGGAGCTGCCTCCTAGGCCAGGGCGGGAAAGAGCCACGGAGCTGCCTCCTAGGCCAGGGCGGGAAAGAGCCAAGGGAAGGCCAAGATATCTCCAGGGTACCTTTTCTTAGCAGCACAAAGAGGAGTTTATTTTCAAAGACAGCAGGAGCCAGAAAAGATAAAAGCCTTGAAATTGAAATGCAAACAGGAGAGCCCTGCCAGACAAGGCTCTTTTAAACCCCATCTGAGGAGGGGAGCCTCCCCCACAGGGCTGTGGCATGGGAGGGTCTGGTCACCTCCTGGGACAAACAGGAAGAAGCTCACATGGGGACCACTGCCTAGAGTGGCAGCCCAGGCCTTGGTCCCTACCATCGAAGGGTCCACAGAGCTCATGGGAGTTCTACAGTGTGTGCCAAGATTTCAGAAGGCCTAACAGAAGTGATGCATCCTTCAATACAGCCAAGATACGGAAATAATGTAAATGTCTGCTGATGGACGAGTGGATTAAAAAACACGTGACCAGGCGTGGACAATCCCAGCACTTTGGGAGGCCAATGTGGGCAGATCACGAGGTCAGTAGATCCAGACCATCCTGGCTAACACAGTGAAACCTCATCTCTACTAAAAATACAAAAAGTAACTGGGCGTGGTGGCGTGTGGCTGTAGTCCCAGCTACTTGGGAGGATGAGGCAGAAGAACTGCTTGAACCCAGGAGGAGAGGTTGCAGTGAGCCGAGATCGCACCATTGCACTCCAGCCTGAGCGACAGCTAGACTCCATCTCAAACAAACAAAAAACGAAACGTGATGCATTTATACAACAGAATGCTTTTCAGCCATGAAAAAGAAGGAAAGCCTGCCATTTGTGCCAGCATGATGGACCCAGAGGACATTATGCTAAGTAAAATCATCCAGGCACAGAAAGACGCATGCCACATGGTCTTCCTTATACGTAGGAAAAAAAACTGAAAAAAGCTCAACTCACAGAAGCAGAGGGTAGAATGGTGGTTGCCAGGCACTGGGAGAAATGGGGAGATGTTGTCAAAGCATGCAAACCTCCAACTGTGGATGTTAAGTTCTGGGGGGTCCCACATGGTGACTGGAGATAATAGTACTGCAGTGTTTACTTGAGACTTGCTGAGAGGGTGGAGAGCAAGTGTCCTCACTACACACGTGCAAATGCTGACTGTTGGATGACAGATGTGTTCATTAGCTCGACTCTGCAGCAATCACGTCACAATGTCTATTGAATCATCACTTGTACATCGTAAACATCATTTTTGTGTGTCAGTCATACCTCAGTAAAGCTGGGAGGGGAGTGAGTGACATGTTGTCCACTGGCCATCAGTAAGACTGGACAGGACCACTAAGGCCGACATGGCGGCTGGAACCCCGTAAGTGCAGCTGGTGACCCTACCTACCACATACGAGTATCAGAGACTGAAATATGATCTTCATAACGCAGTATTTTAGAAGACAAAGTCTTTCCAAGAGAAAGAGTAATAATAATAACAAAATCCCCTGGAGGACACAAAGTTGGAAGCACGGGCCTCAAGGAAGTCGAGACACCTGGTATTCTCAGCATTTCTTGGTCCCTGACCCACCTCCTTGACTAGTTTCTTCAAACTGACACTTTTTCTTTATGCTGCCTCAGATAAATCATTTCACCACCCTGAAATGCAGGCTGCTCCATCTGCAGAGTGAGAGAGGGAGGCTCAGTGCCCTCCTTCTGTGCCTCGCCTGTTTCTCCCAGGGATCCTCAAACGCCCTTCGGCTTGTCAACAGCAGCACACCAGGACACTGAACATTCTGTTTGAGTCCCTGCAGTGGTCGCTGAATGGTGTGGTGACTTGTGTGGGCTTAGCGAGGGCAGGAGGAGCTGTCTCACGGGAGACTGCCCCTCTTCCACAAATGGGGGAGGAGCAGGAGGCAGCAGCAGGCACATGCATGGTCTGTCATGGCACTTTTAAAACATGCTGTTACAGAAAATGTCAAACTGCACAAGAATAGAGGAGGAGAAAGAACCTGCATGTGCCCACTGGCCGGCTTCAACCACTGTCACCTCTCAGCCACGCCCCCTTCCCACGGCAGCTTCCCACGGCAGCTGCCCACGAGCACACCCTTTACGCTCCACCCATATTATTTTTGAAACAAACCACAGACATGTTACCATTTCATCCGTGAATGTTTCAGTGTATATCTCTCAAAGATAGGATGACTCACTTTTATAAATATAATATCATTGTCATACCTAAAAATCTTAATTTATGATGGTACATTTACCCACTCATGTCCCTAAGGAGCAGTCAGAGTTTTCTTGAGTGAACCAGCCTCTTCTCATTGGGAACATGAGGGAAGGGGCTGTGAGCACCTAAAATGAGCAGACACTTCCTGAACCAAAGCCTGGGTTTTCTTCCGTGACAGTGGCAGGGTCTCTGCGCTTTCAACACACTTGTGATCAGCAGAGAAAGGTCAAGTTCAGCATGTCTGGCTTGGTACTTGGGGAGGGAAGATGGGGTAACAATGATGGTGATGAGGCTATGAATAGCAGAGGTGGAGGAGTTAATAAATGACCACCGTGCCAGGCGCTTCATAGGCCTCATCTCATTAAATCCTCACACAGCCCCGTGAAGAAATGCCCTTCACCTTCCAGAGACGGGGAACCAAGACTCAGCAAGATTCAGTAACTTGCCTGAGTCCTCATAGGTTATCGTGGCACCAGGATTGATGCCCGGTCTGTCTGACGCAGAGCCCAGGTTGATGTGCAGAGGGCTTAGCCCAGCCCCTGCTGTGCTGGTGGAACCTCACCAGGCACCAACGTTGGGGGAGAGGGAGGCATTGCTCCAGGCATCCCTCACCACACCCCTCCCCCAGTACAGCCCACGTGTCCAGGAACCTTGCCATGAGACAGTCTACACTCTTCAGACCTCCTTCCCTCTCTTCCCACAGTCTCCAAAGCAGTAAGCATGTGCCTCAGGGAACACACTGAGTGTGTGCTGGGGGATCCCACAACACCCTTAGGAGACCGCACTCACCGAAACGGCCGTCCAGTTTCACATACAACTCAATGACACCGTAGGCAATGGTGGTGGCAGCTGGGATCTCCAGCACCACGTTGGAGTCCTTCATGACGTTCCCGTCCTCCGTCGCTGACACCTGTGGGCAAAAACACACACTCCCACCTGTGCCCTCGGGCTCTCCAGGCTGCTCTGTTCCCCACTGCAGCCAGCCTCATGCCTTGTATATGTGAGAGATGCTGAGAAATGTCCACAGAACCGAGTGGAACGGAGGAGCCAGCCAGCATGGGGAATGGGGCAGCTCAATCCTTCTTGGCATCAGTATACACATTCCTAAAAACATGGCCAACCTCGTGGTATCAAAGTGAGATTCTAGAGTGTGGGATACAGTGAAGTTTGGTCTACAGTGCTGTGCAAAGATCATACGACACAAGATCACCTCCCAATTCCCTCCATCACGAGTTACGGAAACAGCTGAAATCCTAATGAGAACCTTAAACAGTAACAAAGCTGGAGTGGGAGAACCTAGCTGAGAGGTCCCCTGCCCCCTGCACCTCACTCCAGACCCCTGTGGACAGTGCACGGTGCTGAGAAACCCAGGAACAGAGAGGGAAGTAGGAAGAGGAGACACAGGAAACGCCAAGAAGTCAGGCACCGAAGCTCTCGCCTTCAAAGCTCTTACAGACAGGACCCATTCCCACAATGTCCTGGTGAGAGGAAAGGTGATAATCTGTTTGTTTGCCAAACACTGGCAATCAGAGAATGTTTTTTTAGCAGCTTGATCCTGGTCAGAGAGTGTTGCTTTGGGTCGAGAAAAGGCAGCCAGCCTCCTGACTCTCAAAGGCTCCAAAACATTGGCAGGTGGTGACTGTGGCAGAAGCAGCAGCAGGGCCGGCCTGAGCCATCTCCCATGAGAGCCTCCGCAGAAGCAGCGACGGGGCCGGCCTGAGCCATCTCCCATAAGAGCCTCCTCCACTGCGCTATCCAGCCCGCCCACCCTACCCACCCCAGCAAGAGGGCCGGCCCCAGACCTCTACACCTCCAGCTCCTTCCAGATACAACTTTCCTGGTTCTTGTAGACAAGGCCCAAAGTTATGCCAAGAAGTAAATTTCTAAGAAACTATCAGCCACCATGGCAAGCTGGAGGGGAAACACTTTGGAGTTGACGGCCACCTTGTCCACTGAAGTTTAGTACTGGCTCATGATGGGTCAGCTTGGTAAGACTGAAGTCGATAACTTATTCCAGAGAAAACTAGGTAGGGATAGCTAGGTCTTACCTGCCCTAACTCAACCCACAAAGGATTTGCAACAGCTAATTCCAAGTAATCACTGTGACAGCCCAGGCTCTGAGAGGCTCTAGGGATTCTCTTGCATTTGGCCTGGTCAGTGCCTGTATATGTTTTTCTTGGGGGAAACATCTGCCACCCACAAGGAAGAACACTGACACCGGCCCGCATGGCCCATTCAAGTGCCTGTGGCTCTGCCCTGCTTCGGGAACAGACACATCCCAGGATGGTCTGGTGAGACGCAGCATATCAGGAGCAAGCCTGGAGCTGCCAGCACCACAGGGAGAGCCCATCCAAGACTGGATCAACCCAGGGAAGGCAGCTCCCTATATCCCCAAGGCCTGGATCCAGCAGTGACTGGAGCCTATTACCCCAAGTGTTTCAGCTACACGAGCCAATACACTCTTGCTCATTTAAACCAATGTGAGTTGGGTTTCTGTTAACTTGCTACAGAAAGAGTCCTGATTAATGAAGACACAACCCAAAGAGGCCCCCAACCAAGGTCTCCATGACTGCCCAGCCATGACCACAGGGCAGCCCTGCCACACGCACCTGCACTGTCTTGGTCTGGATGCCCACCATGCCGCCACACTTCTCCTCGACCTGCGTGTGCTCAGAGATCACACACTTCTGCATCGTCGTGATCTTCTGTGTCAAAACGCACAGGACCTCATTCCTTTCCTCCAGCACCTGCTGGAGCACAGGGTTTCTCAGATTTATTGTTCTGAAAAAGAAAAATGGCTGTGAGTGGCCTAATGCCTCAGGGGACATTGGTGTAGCATGAACTTCCTCTTGCACAGCAGGCAGCTGAGGAGTGAGCAGGTGACAGCCAGGCTTTGTTGATTTCCTGGTGATGAGAGAGGGGGCTGGAAAGACATCAACCAAACTCTCTTGAAGCCACCTCAGAGCTGCCAGGCCTCTGGGGGCTAGGCTAGATGCCAGAAGGGGGCTTTCAGTCAAACAATAGCACTGGTTGTCAAGGAGAAGAAAAGAAAACCAACCAGGGCTAGGCACGGTGGCTCACACCTTTATTCCTAGCACTTTGGGAGGCTGAGGCAGGTAGATCACTTGAGATCAGGAGTTCGAGACCAGCCTGACCAACACAGTGAAACCCTGTCTCTACCAAAAATACAAAAATTAGCCAGGCATGGTGGCGCATGTCTGTGATCCCAGCTACTGGGAGGCTGAGGCAGGAGAATCACTTGAACCCAGGAGGCGGAGGCTATAGTGAGCTAAGATTGTGCCACTGCAGTCCAGCCTGGGCGACAGAGCAAGACTCTGTCTCAAAAAGAAAAAAAAAAAAAAAGAAAAGGAAAAGAAAAGAAAACTAACCAGGAAAGAAACTGCAATCTATCTGTCTTAGACCCTTGAAACTCCACTGTTATTTAATCAGAGGTAAGGGATGTCAGATGTCACAGCCATGGCCCAGGAAATACAGGGTTATGATGGGAGGAATGATGACCAATTGCTTCTCACTGAGAAAGGAATAGCCCTAAAATACAAGTAGCAAGGAGGAAATTAGATTTGAACTGAAAGGAAACTTCTTAACCCATCTAGGAAAGATGTTTCATCTCTTAGAAGGGACTTGATGTCATTTTACACATAGGAAAACTGAGGCCGATTATGCATGGCCTGCCCATAGTCACTCAGCAGAGATTTGGGGCTCCCACTCAGCCACTTGAAATTCTACAAAATTTCAGGAACAGACTAAATTTTTATTTACAGGAGAGGATTTCATGCTTAGAAGCAAATGATAAAATAACCTCTCTAGGGATCTCATTCAATGTTATGTGTCTATAAAGGACAGGACAAGAACCAAATTAGAGTTGGTGACAGCACAAGAAAAATTATGGTATCCATTCTGGTCTTTTTTTAACAGGTTAGTTACCTTGAAAAGCTCAGCACCCATCCCTGACCACACACGTGCTAGGTCACGCATCCTAGGCAGACAGATTCTCTGGGCTTCAGAAAGTAGCCCTGGAACTGGAGCGAGTAGCGAGGAAAGTCCCATCTCAAGGTAATCACCTGCCCAGAATAGAAACAGCTCACGTGTCCAACAGCAGATGATGGAGAAACAAAATGTATTCCAGTCGTATCATGAGATACCCATAGAAACAAGTGAAGTTCTGACACACGTGCTGCAACATGGGTGGACCCTGAAGACATTGTGCCAAGTGACAAATGCCAGGGACAAAGGGACAATATTATATGGTTCCTCTTATATGAAATATCTGGAATAGGAAATTCATAATGATAGAAAGCAGACGAGGTTACCAGGGCTGCAGGGTGGGAGAATGGGGAGTCACTGTTGGACAGCTGCAGAGTTCCTACTAGAGGTGACAAGAAGTTCTAGGAATGGAGAGTGGAGATGATGGCACAACAGGAGAATGTAATGGACACCACTGAGTTATACACTTAAAAATGGTCAAAACAGTAAATGTGTGTCTTACCTATTTTACCACAATAAAAAATAGATAAGACATAGGAAAAACTGGTTCAATCTTCGTACTGGTTTAGGAAACTCAAATTATGACAATGTCTCACACATAATAAAAATCTCCTAACAACCACAAAGCTGCCGAGAGACTCCATTTCCAGGAAGGAATAGAAAATGGAGCTTGGAGCCTGCACGGCTGGGGTTCAGATCTCAGCTCTGCCCTTTCACTGCGCAAGCTCCAGTGCAGGAGCACCTCTGCACCTAGGTTTTCTCATGGAGAAACTGTTGGTAACAGGGCCCCCCTCCTCATGGGGTTATGTCAGGGTTTAGATGAGACGCATGCAGTGAGCCACTGGGGTGTGCCTGGCACAGAGTTAAATGCCATGCACACACTAGCTGGCTCCACCCACCTTCCCATGTCCCTCTGTTTGGTGAGGCTCACAAAACAAAGCCACAGTGTGTGCACTGCATGGGAATTACGGGTCATTGAATTGAGACAGGTGTACTTTTCCACATCACTCCCTTCTTGAAAGCCTTCGATGGCTATATCCCATGTCCAGTGCTCTCCCAGGCTGAGGCCCCACGTGATCTGCCCGGCCCCCTGCTGACTTTACCTTCCAGCCTTCTCACTATGCCTTAAAAATGCAAGGTGCAGGCCCACTCCAAGGCCTCAGCACGCATTCTTTAATGGCCACAGTTCACTGACTCTTTGGTCGCCTCCTTGGGGAAGGATTCCCTGCACCCCCATCATGCTATCACACCCTAAGATCGCTTATCTGGAGAGCACATTTCCAGAGGACATTTTTCTAGCTCATTCCTTTATCTGCTCACAGCCTTACTCCCACATCAAGAATATAAACCCCATGGAGGTGGCAAGTGTACCAGCCTCTTAACGGTGTATCTCAGGACCAGGATCAGTGCCCAGTACATAGGAAGAGCTCAGGAAATATTTTTTAAAATAAATGAGTAAAAACTTGTGGGGTTTTGTCGTTTCTACATTTGTTTGAATGAATCTGTACATTATTTGTGCATCCACGTGTAAGAAGACACGGAAGGTGCGGGAAACGAAGGATCTGCAGCTTGGATTAAAGAATGGTGTATAGCAGATGCAATCTTCCTAAGGGATGGCATGTCTTGGTCCCGTAGGTAAAGATTTTAAGGATAAAAGCCACTGTAGCCACCAGTCAGCGCATATATTCAAATGTTCCCTTTCCAATGTTCTCTTCCTTCTGTTGCTCAAAATTCTGTCTTCTAGCAGCTTCCTGAATATCTGTCTATATATACCCTCACTTAGAGCTCAGGTATAGGCTCCTCCCAGCTAGACACTCATCAGACGCATCACCGCCTGGTGACTACCCCACAACTGTCGCCTGTAGGAGTCTGAGGTGACTGCTGGATTGGAAATCACAGCCCTCTTACCCACCCTAAACACAATCCACCAAACACTGGACACTGCTCCCAGCCAACGTGAAATTGTTTGAAAATAAAAAGCTCAGCCTAGACCACTCAAGACTCTACGGCTAAAAAAAAAAAAAAAAAAAAAAAAATGGGAGGCCGAGGCAGGTGGATCACAAGGTCAAGAGATCGAGACCATCCTGGTCAACAAGGTGAAACCCCGCCTCTATTAAAAATACAAAAATTAGCTGGGCATGGTGGTGCGTGCCTGTAGTCCCAGCTACTCAGGAGGCTGAGGCAGGAGAATTGCTTGAACCCAGAAGGCGGAGGTTGCAGTGAGCCGAGATTGTGCCATTGCACTCCAGTCTGGGTAACAACAGCGAAACTCCATCTCAAAAAAAAAAAAAAAAAAAATGACTCCATTGCTTAAAATGCCCACCTCCCTCCAGAACCCCCACCTCAAACACCAAAAGAGAGGGGCAGCTATCTATGCAGGTGGGCAAGCAACTGCCTCTTGGATCCGACAAGACAGTTCCGAGATGCTGGCTGAGTCGCTGCACTCAAAAGTTCTCTGCAGGGCGGCCCCACTGCAGTGCAGGACAGAAACTCACCCAGGAACAGAGACTGTCTCCGAGACTAGGATTCGGGTGACCAGAGAGGCAGGTGTCACATAGCCACAGCTCATGCAGGCCGCTGGGATTCCTTCCCTGGGCTACCAAGGCCGGGCTGCGAGGACCAGCAGGCGGCATCCACCTAGCAGCAAACACTTCTACCCAAGACATTGGGATTCTGTTTCCCAGGACAGTGCTGCCACCTTTTGGAAACCAAATGCTGGACAAATCTAATCATCTTTAGTTAGGAGAGGCCCCACAGGGACGGGGGAAGCTACACATCAGGGAAAATGGATTGTTCATTTGACTCTCTGAAAAGCTATCTCGGACGGTAATTCTTCCCCATTTCCTCCCTGAGTCAACTCCGTCAGGCCCCAAGCGTGAAGGAGAGCCGGTATCCTCCTAAGGACAGTGTTCTCAGATGCACATCCTGAACAGCTCAAGGTCACCAACCCCTGGCTCTGGCCCTCCTTCCAACAGGAATCACCATGCCACAGGGCTCCCCTGCACCAGTGAGGAAACCAGCCAAATCTCAATGTAATCTGTGTACTTTATAACCTTATATATTTTAGTATTTGCATTTAAAGAGGTCCATGGGTTTCTTCAACTGCAATGGAGTTCATGAAACAAAAACATTTAAAACGCTCAAATGAGGGTTTCAGAAGAGTTAAAAAAAAAAAAAGACTCAGAGAGGTTGATGGCAGTAACCAGTCACACAGCTGGGAAGCCCAGGTCTTTTACAATGGCCCACATGGCCACAGCACCCATCACTGCTCTCTCCCCCGGGTGAGGGCACCCTTGGACTGTACTGTATCTTCATCTCTATTAGCTCGTATTGCTACATTCATTTCTACATGTAAATATCCTGCCTAACGAGACCAGTGGATGGAGGCTGGAAACGCGAGTCATACCCAAGTCCTTTGAGAATCATTATCAGGATATTCATGCCTGGCCAGGCGCAGCAGCTCACGCCTGTAATCTCAGCACTTTGGAAGACCGAGGCGGGTGGATTAGCTGAGGTCAGGGGTTTGAGACCAGCCTGGCCAACACGGCAAAACCCCATCTCTACTAAAAATACAAAAATTAGCCAGGTGTAGTGGCAGGTGCCTGTAATCCCACCATTTTTTTTTTTTTTTTTTTTTTTGAGATAGCTCTGTCTCAAAAAAAAAAAAAAAAAAACCATAAAAAAGAATATCCCTGCCTGCCTGTCCTCCCCGAGCCCATCTTGCTGTCCTCATGGCTGCCGCCCTGTGCCCTCTGACAGTTCTTCCCTGACTTGTC